TGTACTTTTATACAAACTAAAACTAATAATGATAAGACATACCATATAAGACCTGAAAGGTAAAAATAGACGTGAATCAATAATTTCAACAAGTATAGAACATTGTTCTTATCAGGGATTTTCAGATACTCAGATACTTTTGAAGTGAAATAAAAATAATTATTAAACATACATACAATATTGAGTTAGAAATATTAACCTTTAACCAAGTTACTTTGTAATAAATAAATAGTATTTAATAAATACAAAGATAAATAAATAGAATTATATTGATTGAATTATTTTGCAAACACCCTTCAGGGAAACAGGGAATTTTTGTTTATCTCGGCAACAAACTAAACATTGACTAAAGTTAATCTAAAAGACCTTGACCACTCAAGGCGATACTTAGTTGGGCATTGACTCGGCTCTCAAATAGTTCCTCTGAAGAGACCCCTCCCTGCAAATAATCGCTTTACCTGCTTTATGACTGCACGTGCATCGCCATTAGCTGTAATACAAAATGCAATATAGAAATTGAAAAAAATTCAAATGGAAATATTTTATATTATTTACGATGACATGGTCTATTAGTAGAACAGAAACTTTGATTGTTAGTTTCTTGGCAGTTCCGGTGCTATTGTACGCCGTACACTCACTCAATCAACGTTACGTGCCCGGCTGGAAATGGGACGAGTGAGAAGAAAATGCCCTCCCCAGTTCATATAATGGGAGCACAAAGGCGAAAATGTGATTTATGAATGGTGTCAATAACCAGAAAAACTGATTAGAACTGTTGGCAGTAATGCACTAAATCTTAATTAATAAACAGTACGGATTGCAGTGTTGTATCTTCTTGTTTAGGGTTAAGATTAAGGGGATTAAAGGAATGATTCTTTATCTATAAACCCCCCTTAGTTAATTAATTTTAGTTCTTATAATGGAAATCTTTAGAATGTCTTCTCTAAAACCTAATTATTGTCCTAAGGTTCCAAACTGTTCGAGCTTTTCTTTTCAGATGGAACAACAAAACAAAGACTTTTATGTTTTCTTTTCTAATTTTATATACATATATCGTTTTTTTTTTTTCTATTTCTTGGTAATTCCAATATGTGGCAAATTACCTTCCATTTAAACCCCAGCTCTTAATATCTGGATCTCCCATGGTGATAAGAAAGCACTACCAACTACGCATGAGTTGGACCACCAAAAATTTCCTTCTAGCTTTTTCCAGAGTCTTTTCAAATCGTCTTACCTAAGGAGTTTTCCAACTTGGATTTTCCTTTTCTAGGCAAGTTCATTGACCCTCTAGTTTCCTTTTCACTTTCTTGAAACTGAAATTTCCCTTTCGGTGGTTAACTTTCCTTAGCAAGGATGAGGTGCGAGGGTGGTTTTGCCAATTGACATGCGCATAATTTCCCCATTACGGATATCTCCCCTCTGTTTGGGGGCTGATGGCAGTTTTTGTTATTGTCGTTGTTTGTTTGCTTTTAATTTAAAGCTTTTACCGGTCGCCGGTATTTGACAATAGAGGTCCTGGCTATATACATAATACCCAACATACTTGTTATAGATTAGGGCCAGAATTTTGCTTGGCAGTTTTAATGGTTAATTCTAGAAAGGTTCTAGGTTATACTAAAATCTAGTATCTTTATAAAGAAAGTCTCCCAAAAACGCAACATTTTTAGAATATTAAACTAAAATAGATATAATTTTCTTTCCAGTAGAATGATGATATATGAATGAAAGAAATATTTTTTTTATTTAAAATATATTTAAGAACTTTCTCGATACTTTTTTAAACAAAATTATTTTTAAATCTATTTTTAAGGGTGAATAATAAGTCAAGTTCACATTCTATTCTTCTCGTCTCAAGACTACAATGTCATTTAGGGTTTATCATGTCATATCTTCTTTATAATAAAGTTTTTATTAAGTAATACTGAAGCAGCTGCATCTCACATAAAATCTATCTACCTTTATACCCCCCAATATAAATACTTTCATCCAAGAATTACGAAAAAGTATCTTTGAAATAAAGCTTCTCTCGGTTTGAATTAAAAACCAGATTGAGCACAGTATGAGAGCCAGATACAAAGAGAGGCCCTCTACATCTTATCTATTACTATGGATACCGTTACTGCAAGGGTCAATGGCCCCAGCCAAAAAAAAAAAAACTCACGCACTTGTAGTCCAACCAGAAACAGAACACACACACACACACACGGTGTGTTATGTCATGCTCATCATTTCCAATTTGAGGGAAATTTTAGGTTTGAGTGATAGTTGTTTGAGTGGGAAATCTTTTGTGGGATATTTCAGTAGGTTTGAGAGAAACTGAAGTGAAAGTTTTGAGATGTTTGAGAGCGGGGAAATTCTTTACTAGAGTTTAGATTGGATAATACAAAAAATAATGTCTATTTAGATGTTTAAATAGGATCATATACTGATCCTCATAGGTATTAAAATAAGTAATTTTCCTCAGAAGGAACATTTTCTTTATTATCTGATAAAGTTGAGCTGCGCAAACTCCGAGCGACTACGCAATACAATTGAGATTGCTTGAGAGCTCTGCGTAGAGTAGCCCCCCCAAAAAGATTTTCCTTTATGGAACTTGTGTGACAACAGGGAAATTTCTGACTTGGGAAATTGACGATTCGTGACCCATTTTCAGTACAACGTTCGGCAAAGAGTTCAAAGACCCCGGGCAGATTGAAAATGAAAAAAGGGGCTTTGGTTTTGGTGGCGAAATACTATGGGCGGACAACCCCACATGCCCTATGTATTCTCATCTGTGCTTTTTTGGAACAATTTAATGTACTATATATTGCTCCGTCGCCCACACACAAATATTTGATTGTAACCAATGCAACTGTTTTATGTTTTTTTTTTAGCTTTCGTGTGGATGTCATGATGTCATTTTCGAAGTTAGTTTTCTTTTTGGGGGGGAAGCAGTGAGGGTGGAAATGCATAATCAGCACTAGGGCTTATTTATGCCTACATTTAATGCGTGTCCCACCCGGCATGGGGGTTGCTTTCCAATTTAATTTGTAGCCAAGGCGAAGCTTTAGATTCGACATAGACTGACTTGACCCATATACTAATATGCCTCTAATGGGGAGTGTCCCATTAATGGCAGATCTTTGAAAGATCTACAGAACAGATAATGTCTTACTTGTAAGGGGAAAACTAATTAACTTTGTAATCATTTTATTGGATATTAAAGCAAATAACCCAATGGTGTATAAAATGTAAAGAAATTGTTTACGATTATATTAAATTAATTATATACACCCAGTATCTATGCAAGGGGAACTTACTTTTCCCCACTCTTGTTTTGTATTTTATTGATCTAATTATCTGTTAATTATTTAAATAAATTTTATGATGTTTTCCACATCAATTTTATGAAATTTTCAGCTTATCTATAAGCATATTTATCCATAAGATCTATGTGTAACTATAAAACTATAGAGGTATAAAAAAAACGCTGATTAAATTATTGAAAAAGGGGTTTTTTAATTACAGAGTATATATATATTTTTATTTTAAATATATTTTTTAGATTTTCTACTAGAAAATTTCTAGTTTTAAGTGTTCCTTTATATCTTATATGATAACCTTTATATCTTAAGGAAACCCCTCTGTTTTTAAACAGAAACATTATTATAGAAAAACATATGTATAATGTATGTACATATATATACATATGTATAGTATATAATAAAGTCATGAGAAAAGGGTCAGAACTAAAGCGAAATATAATATTCAGCGTTAACCTCAGAACAAGAGAAGAAATCTTTGGCCGCGCCAAAGTTCAAGAACCCCATGAAAACACGCCAACGCGCAGACGTTGCCATCATCACAGACACCATTCCCCACCATGACTCTCCGATGGTTTACCGGCTACGATGTTGCACGGACTGGGTATTTGCCCCGCGTGTCGAACGAAAGTGAGTCTCTGGGCTCCCCCTTCTCACACCGGCACTAGATATGTACTTTTTGCGCTGGCCAGGCTGGTTCATTGAACCCTGGGAAATTCGGAAGTAGTCCCAAAAGCCAAGAGCACAGTTCCTCCACCTCCAGATCAAGCTCTCCACCGCCAGAAGCACTCGGGATGCGTTAAGGTCGGGGTGGGGAGGGAGATTCGAAATAGAAACACTTGGAAAACACGCCAAGCTATGTTGGTATAATATAGCATTTTTGTTTGTTGGGAGAATGACACACCCTTGGCCCCTCATCAACCAAATGTTAATGCTACACTTATAACTTTAAGCCACTTAAGACTTTTTGGGAATTTTAAATGTTTTTATATACCTCTTAATTAATTAACTTAGGAAGTTTATTTTTTACGCAATTGTTTTTAATAAAGTTTAAAAAATACTTGAAATGCGTAGATCAACAATGGTTGACGTCTCTTTTCAAGGCTTCCACCAACACAAACCCCAAACTATATATTAGGTATAGTACCAAGGAATCCGAAAATCTTTTATAGATTTCAGACTTCAACAAACATTTATATCATTTCATATCATAAGATATGGAACAATTAAGGATAGTACAAATAGACATCAATACCGTCTAAACATTTAACACGTACTCCAAATAGAAGATCTAAACTGTATTTTATTTAAATTTATTTTATCGTCTTTTCATTTTGTTTGTTTTTAGTAACTTTACACATTCATAAAAAATATATTTAAATCATTATTACCAACTGCCACGCTTGTGTGTTTGATAGATCTAAACAGGAAATACTATAAAGTGAAAGATAAACTAAATTAATTTGAAAAGTAATGCTAACAAAAAGCAATCTGAACTCTTTAAAGTTCACAAAGAGACATACATAAATAGACAAACATAAGATGCGATCGAAAACAAGTCTATAAACATGAAAATGTAGCTAAATTTCTACAATTTTAACTTAAATGTCGAAAATACATACGCTTTAAAAAAATGAAAAGCTTTTGGTCTCTTCGGAAAGGTGCAACAAAACCCATTTAACAAATAAAACAGCTGAATACCGATCTCGTAGGTGAGCGTGTGTGAATTTGAAGTGATTTTACAAATGTTATTTGATTGTTTTATTTCCCCCCACATTTATTCAATTACTGTTGAGCCGGGGCCGGTTGTGGCTGCGGCGCCAGACGACTCACGAATCCAATACCTCCACGAATGATCTTTCCCACAGCGGGCGGAGAACGGGCGGCCAGCGTCTCGAAGGTAATACGCAGCTCGGCGAAAGCGGTGCGAGGATAAGGATTGCGGCGCGAGCTGTAACGCATCACCAAGTAGTGGTAGTAGATGATGGGCGTCATCAGACCAGCGTGGCTCCTGCAAGAAATACGATATTTAACAATCTTCTTAAAGAATGAAAACTTGCCACACTCACATGAAGGTTAAAACAATGGCGTAGGGCATAATGAAGATCTCACAGAAAGCCGTGGCCTTGAGAATATTGGCGGCCTGGAATTCCACGATAGAGATGATGAAACGGGCCCCCCACCACGAGTTCTGACCAATAAGCTATAAAAAAAGAGTACTTGTTAGATTAAATTAATTAAATTAGAAGACATTATTCATACATCAAGAAGTTTGAGCGAGTAGCTGGAGGCATGCAAGACGGAGATAAGCAAAACTGGAATCAGAACCAGCAACGATGGTCGAATGTTGAAGAAGATCAGCGAGTACATCATGTAATGACAGGAGTCTTCGGCAAACAGACGGGCGAGGAACTCGCGGCTGAAAGAAAAGGCGGGTATGCGCTGGTGCAAACGCAGCGCTGAGATGGCGGCATTGGCCAGAAGAACCTTGCTGAAGGAGCTCTGTTGTGAACTGTGTAAAGACAACGAATATTTAATTAGTTATAAAATAATTTCATTATTTTAAAAGAAATACTTACGTGAAAATGGGCAGAACATAGTTGATGGTGAAGAAAATAGCCAGAAGACGCAGGGCCCACAGGGCAGAGTCGATCCGGTTTGTTTGGAAATGTTGCAAGAGCTTGAGATGCGGCTTCTGTGATTGCGTCTGCTGTTGCTGCTCCTGCTGTGGCTGGGAGGAGCTTTCCGAGCTGTTGTTCTCGGCGCTGTCAGTGCGCGGTGTTTGTTCAGTGGCTGTGCTCATCTTGGGGCGGCTTTGGTTCTTTGCTATTCCTCGGGATTTTTCAGTCTGCCAGTGAGCATGAAATGGAAAAAAATGCAAAGAAAATGAGTGATACGTTTACCTCAGGCCTTATCGGAGGGAATTCTATCCTTATCTTGGGGTAAGAGCTAAAGATAAGAATAGTTAGCCGCCTTATCTAAGGTGTGCTTGCCTATGCTTTCCTAGTGTTGAAATTCCGCACTGTTTGGTGAACTAGTAGCTTCAACTAAGTCTTTAATGTGATGGGTATGATCTGCCCGACGCTTCTCCAACTGAAATCAGTGTGGAGGCACGTGTGATGGTTTAATGTGAAACTTAAAGCCCGACTATTAAACCACTCAAATGGAAACTTTTTCGGGCTTTTAATGTTTTTTACAGCTAAGATGCGTTGACCACAATTACAGACAGTGCTTTGCATAAGCAGCCGAAAAAGAAATTAGTGGCCAAGGCATTATGAAAGAAAAAACCAGAAAGGAAAGCTAACTTTAGTAAGGCCGAAGCTTAAATGCTCTCGCAGTTATCGTTAATTAAATATATATATTCTCCACTACGTGTAATAAAAGCGAATTCATGCTCTATATGCAACTTTCCCTGGATGTCAGCTAGTGTCAGCTATAAAATAGAGCTAACCTGTTTGAATGAAATCTTCTAAATGTACCTCGGTTGTGCCTATGAAGGGCCTCTTCCTTCCTCTGATCAAGAGACTTTATTCTCATAGCCACCTATAGTCAAGGTACCATAAGGAACTTATTCAATTTACTGAAGCAATATTTGTAATAACTACCAAACATTACTGCAGACAGGCCGCAATATGCGTGTCGTAATGAAACGCCGAGTACACGAAATGTTACAGCAAACAAGCGGCAACAGGTGGACACGAGCCGGGGGCGCGGTGGTGCTGTTGGGAAAGCTCACAAATTGACGGCGCCACAGCGAGCCAGTGGGAGGCGGTCAAATTATTAGTGATAAGCATTAAGGATAATTTAAAATGCAGGACAAGGGCGGTTTATCGATTTGAATATGAACTGCGGTCCTCTAATGAAACTAGGTCACCGCATTGGCTACCCATGGATAATTGCTTTTCACAAATATTGATTCAGAAGCCAGGTACCGAGACCCAATCTGATGAAGACTGGTGAAATATACACAAATGACTAAGTGACGTCACGTGGTCGATCGGGAGGCAATTGGAACACGTCAGTAGTGAATATGGCGGTACTGGGTACCACCGTTTGACATGATTGCCTCCCATAATGGACTGGGACCGAGAGATCGCGGTGAAATAGGGCTACGCTCAAAGTGCAACCCTAAGCCTCAATTCAACAGCTGGAGCTGGCGATGCTGTGGTAAGCTGCACATCCGGAATTAGATGCTTCCTCTCCGACCCTTAATGTCTATATGTAGCCCGTATAATTGGCGGTCGCACTGTCTGCTGATTCGTGTTGATATGACTGCCCAGTCACTGTCCGTGGCACATTTTCATTTGATTTGGGGATATTGGGGTACGAAGAAAGTTGGCACAGGTAGTTGGCCCGTCACTCTCCCAGTACAGAAACCAATTAAGCTCCAGACGTGCACTAATTGTAGAAGTGTCCTTGGCAAACCTTGATTTTTGCAGAGTTTAGTTTCTATTGAAGACAAACTTACCAGCCAATTGGCAGCTAGTCCAACTTTCCTGTGATATGACAATAAATTTACACGTAAATTAATACGTCTTGGTTTCTCTCCTGCTTTCTAGAGATGCGGCTCCTCAGTGAACTGGTTCGATAGTTATGATCCAGTAATCGACTACAATCGACAAGCCTCCAAGCAATTTTGTATTTTGCAGAAACTTACTATTTTTAAAGTTTTCTATAAAAAATATAAATATTTTATAAAAAAAAACTCAAGTTATAAATTTAAAAATGTTTTATTCAAGTGAGGAAATTATTATACAAATTATAAATAACTTATCGATATTGCAATCGAAAAACTTCCACCATTAAAGCATAAAACGCACATTTTAGTTTATTTAAAAATTAATTTAAGTAATTCTAGTTGATTGTAAATAAAATGGATGACGACATCTCCCTTCCTGCCGACACTCTGGCTATTTTAAATGAATTTCTGGCGGAACGTTCAAAACGGGAAGCCGAGGAAGAGGATCGGATTCTTAACAAGACCGGCAAGGATGGCCTCTTTGAAGAAGATTGGGTAAGCACTTGAACTGAATTGTTAGACCAATTTTGACACACTCCTTAATTGTAGCAATTAAGCCAGTTTTGGTACAGCACGAAGACCAAACTTATAGTGCGGGATGTTGTCGGAAAACTGCTGAAAGAGCAAGGCGAGCATTCAAGCGGATTTAGAATAGCTTTGCTATCCTGTCCATCGTTGTACAAGGACATCAAGGATATTCACAGTCAAGGTTCTTTTTTGACCTTACCATTTCCTAATTATTGATACTAATTTACTGTCTTTAGTTACAATATTCGAGTATGACACACGATTTGAAGCCTATGGAACAGATTTTCAGCACTACGATTTTAATTGTATAGAAAACAACCCAGATTATCTCAAGGAGCACCATCAGCAATACGACCTTGTCATAGCAGACCCACCGTTTCTCTCCCAAGAGTGCATTACAAAAGTATCCGAGATAATCACAAAGTTACAGCGGAACCCAGAAAAATCAAAGCTAATCTTCTGCTCCGGGGAGGTGGTAGAACCGTGGCTGACCGCCTCCTTGCCCGTTCACAAGTGCAGCTTCCACCCAGAGCACGAACGGAACCTCGGTAACCAGTTTGTCAGTTATGCAAATTTTGACTTGGACAATTATATTGAAAATAAATAAGCACGTTGTGTTATCTTGTGGGTTTTGTGGTTTAAATGCCGGGATGGAATCTATTTAGCAGCAACATCGGCCTCTTTTCGTTGTTGTACTAACTCGCGGAGACCGTCCTCCTGATCTTTGAGAGACTTTTGCAGGAATTCCTTCTTCTTCTCAAGCAGCTCTATCGCCTTATCGCACTTCTCCTGCTTGGCCTTCAGGTCGTCCCTCATGTTCTGAACATCGGTCAGAAGGAACATACGTCCCACTGATTGGTAGACCCTGTAATTATAATAAACTTAAACTGAGAAACTATTTCAGAATGGTTTCTGTGTTTTCGCCCCCACCTTGTGTCGTCGGACAGGTTGCTGGTGCCCTTCTCTGTAAGCTGGTACTTGTGCTTGCCGGTCTTCACCATGTCACACTTCATGTCGATCATGTTGATCTTTTTCGTCGTCTCCAGCTTGTTGATCTGCATCTCAGTAAAGGCCTGTTGGGAAGCAAAAGCAATGAAATGACTAACTCTTCCAAGTGAGAGCACGCGGTGGCCGGCTTGGGCATCATCTGACCATTTACCTTCTTCAGTTCCATGTCCATTTGTGCCATTTTTACTAATGTTAGCTCCTTCACAGATAAAATGAGTAACAGCAAATGTTTTCAATATGAATTTCCCAAATATTTTAACACCTGCAAGTTTTAACTTTTCTGGGCGATGGGATTCAAGTAGGGTTGTTGATAATGAATATAAATACCAGTATATCGAAAATAAAAATACCAAAAAACGATAGGCAGATATATTTCTATCGACTAGTCGAACAATCGATTCATTAAAACGGCAAGCATTTAAATTTAAAAAGCTTGAGCCTGTTCAAAAATATTTAGTTTAAAAATGGAAAGGAAATTAGGGTACCAAATATATAAACTGTTCCCCCTTAAGAATCACATGTTTATTGAAAACATAACAGCATTCTGTGTGGGCCATATTGTGCCTCCATGCGATCTTGCACAATTTTGAAGGGGATCCCTCAGAAAATTTGACAAAAAATTTAAAAAATAATTTGTTTCTAGATTTTGATGCAGATCGAAAGATAATTGCCGTACAAATCGTTTAAGGTATTCCCCTCAAGAATCGGATGGTTATTGAGAAAGATATAGCCATCTCTGTGGGCCATATTGAGCATCCATGCAATCTTGTACCATTTTGAAGGGGATCCCCCAGAAAATTTGACCAAAAATCTAAAAAATAATTTGTTCCTAGATTTTGATGCAGATCGAAAGATAATCGCCGTACAAATCGTTTAAGGTATTCCCCTCAAGAATCGGATGGTTATTGGAAAAGATATATCCATCTTTGTGGACCATATTGAGACTACATGCGATTTTGTATAACTTTGAAGGGGATGCTCCAGAATATCAATTGATGTAATTTTAATATTATTCTTAATATATGAAATGTCCTTGTCAACATATTTATTCCATCTTTAATTGCAGTGTAGAAAATGTTGGAAACTTCAATAAAAAGTAAATACCTACCAATACACTTGACCACCTATTAACCCAAATTACGAAGACTGAAGCCCTCTAACTATTCTTCAGTATCTAGTGCCGGGTTTCTGCTTGCATCACCTTTTCATTACCCGGACAACATGGAGCGGTGGCACAACAAGCTCGCTGTGGTAACCGGAGCCAGCGGTGGCATTGGAGCCGCCTGTGCCCGGGCCATGGTAGGAGCAGGACTGCGAGTCGTGGGTCTAGCACGTCGGGAGGCAAAACTCAAGGAACTTAGAGAAAGTCTACCGGCACATCTGAGGGCGAATTTCATACCCCGTCGATGTGATGTCTCCAAGGAGGACCAGGTGATCAGCTCGTTTGACTGGATCGAACGGGAATTGGAGGGTCCTGACGTGTTGCTGAATAACGCAGGGATTACCCGCGAGACGGAACTGGTAGCTCCGGGAAACACCCAAAAGTTGCGGGAAGTCCTCGACACCAATGTAATGGGCGTCATCTGGTGCACCCGGGAGGCCTTTAACAACATGAAGCGGAGGGGCAACGAGGGCCACGTTCTGATCATAAACAGTATCGCTGGACATCAGGTCCTCAATTTTATAGATGTACTGCCCTCGTTTAATATCTACCCGGCCACCAAGTTCGCCATCACAGCCATCACGGAGACCTATCGCCAGGAATTTCAGCTTCACGCGAAAAATATCCGGGTGACTGGAATATGTCCCGGAGCAGTCAACACAAACATCTTTCCGGAGGAGATACACTTTTACGTAAAGGACATGGCTAGGCTAGAGCCAGCCAATATAGCTGATGCAGTACTATATGCCCTGCGTACTCCTCCTCATGTTCAGGTGAAAATAATATTAAGTTTTTGAATAATTTCTTTGTTTTAAAAGTATTTTTCCTTTTAGATCCACGAGATAACTATCAAACCAATGGGTGAAATGTTTTAGAATTTGAATCCACATCAAATAAACTATCTATTCTTTTAATTAAAAAAATATCTTAAAGTTTAATATTAAAGCTATCAAATAGTTAGAGGCAATAACAATACATTTCAATGTGAAAGTTCTGAACACAAAAAGATTGATGACCATATTTGTCGGTTCTTGTAACCGGACCGCCCAGAGACAGATTTCTTCCTCCGGATAGCCCAAGAGTTGTTTCAAGTATTGTGGCATCAAAGCATCCATTACCAGGTAGCGTCCTGAACCGGACAAGAATCTGTAAAATATCGTTTTTTGATGTTCCATAGGCGTCGGTGACTTCCTTCAACCGCAACTGCTTACACTGGGGATAGGGCTTGATCAGTTCGTTGATTTTGGTCACTGCGAACCTGGCAGCCAGTTGGACCGACATTTTTTCAGTTGAAATAATGGTTAGTTCCCCGCAGAGGCAGTAGTGTTCCGGAATTCCGGCGATGCTGCAGTTTCTGACATCAGGAATCGGTAAAAAGAGACTGATCCCCCTTTGGGTCTCTGGCAGATTCTTTGTTCGGTTTATGATACTTTCATCGGTGATTTGATCCAAGTGGAGTATATCTTTGAGGGTCTCATGAAGGTCAAAGGTTGTTACCAAGCTCCTGGCATTTTTGTGAAGATTTTGCATGGCCAGGGGATACCTTTCCATCATCCATTCGGGATAAATCGCAATAAGAAGGGGCTGCGACATCTCGCGTTGGCCCAAAAATGTTTGCGCAAAGCCCTCAACTCTAAGGCCATGATCGCTCATAAACAGGATCAGAGTGTGCTCCATGATGCCTTGCTCTTGTATCTTCCGAAATATGTCCAGAAAGTCCTTGTCCACAAACTTGGCAAAGTTGAAATGGTCATGAATGCCCTGCATCTTCCACAAGAACGAGAAGAAGGGCCGTTGTCGCATGTGAGGCAAGAGCTTATAAATGAACTCATAGTACTGCTTCTCATAAAATCGACCTCCTGTGCATCTAAAATCCAATGTTGTTCGATATAAACAGTTTAGTTCTGACTCTCGCAATATATAGCGAAAGTAGTAGTCGGTGATTTGCTTTTTGAAACCACTCTTCAGATAAGTAAACAACGCGTACATATCGGTGTCCTCGGCGAAGGCGGTTGAGTATCCTGCAGCTTTGAAGTCGTCCCACAAAAAATGACAAGTGTCGTAGTTCTCAAAATTGTTGTAGCAAGCAGCCTCAAGGTCGTCGGTTGTATTGCCACTTAAGAGCGGCATCAGGTTGGGATAGGTATTCTTCCCGACACGATGGTAGCCCCAGAACTCTGTGTGGGGCAGGCGCTCCATGAAGTCGGCCACTTGATGGAAGAAGCGAAGGTAGTGCATGTGGGATATGGAGTCTACTCCCATGATCATGACTGACAGTTTAGATTCCAATTGAGCAGGTGTACTAGATTCCAACTCGGGTTCGGGAGGCGCCACAAAAAAGAGTACGTCGTGAAAAATGAGCCTGCCAAAGTCCACCCAGCACCAGATCCGTAGGTTCTGTTCCCCAGATCCAATATCAACGCGCTCGAAATGGTTCTTTAGTCTTAAAAACTTTAATGAGATATATATGTTGGCAAAATCGTCTTCCCGAATAAATTCACGATACATGCAATAAAGATGCCTCTGCTTTAAAACCAGGTTTCGAAAGTACCCTGAGTCTGGAATGGATCGTACTATGTAGTTTCTACCATCTATGGTCTCGGCCCTCATGAGCTGGAGTTTTGGACAGGAAAATGGGCCAAATGGTTCCATCATATAGGTCACAGCAGAGTCCACAAAGGGTTTCATGGAATGTATTTGACATCCCGATGTATTGACAAAAAAATCACCTTCATAGTTGATAACACTTTCGATCCTTTCTCCTGCTTGTGTCTCTTCCTCTCGGTTGGTTTTTAAATAAAAAAGGTAGCCAAGAAATAGGCAAATGGATATTTTCAGCCATCCTCTATTGATAAACATCGGTTATTCCGCAGCCTGTCACGTCAGATTTCAGAAGGCCTACTAAACCAGTAGTGGGAATAGTAGGATTAGGACTAAAATACAGGACTTTTGAACTTTTTAATTTAAAAAAAAATACTATGTACAATTTATAGATTTAGATATCCTGGGAATCATAAAGAAAGCCAGTGCTTTTCAATAATTTCGTCTTAAACCCTTTAAAGACTCCCGCATTGCCTCCTTGTTGAGTCGGTGCATACACAGGAACTGTCCGTTAAAGAAGAGCACCGGGATGTCGTGCCGGAAGAGGCGCAGGTATCTCACGTTTTCCTTGCGATCGATGTAAACTTTCTCTAGTCGGTATTGGCCAGCGAAATTTTGTTCCAAGCTGTCAACTAACTCGTCGCACAATGGGCAAGGATCTCGGGTGTACAATGTTAGCAGAGGCCTGCCATCATCCTGGGGGATATTGGGTGCTCTGAAATATTAAGTTGGGATGAGTAAACACAAGTCACAGAAGCTAACTAGAAACTCACATTTTTTCAAGAGTCATGCCCAAGGAACGACCCTCTGGCGTTCCCATAAAGACACAACCTATCTCACCTGTGGGCAGGGAGTGCACCAGGTGGGTTAAGAGGTGGCTGGCCGTGATCTGTTTTGAGTCGTGTGTGCAAAGGCGGCTGGTGTATAAATCCCGGAGTAAGGTCTCCGAAATTGACATCTTATCGTCAGTGACCAGGTTCCAACTAAAAACTTCACTTGGCTTGATGGGTTCCCTGTCATGCAATCGGTATATTGCTAGCTCCGCTTCCTGCTCCATCGAAAACTCCCGAACCACTGCCAGGGGCTGAAGCTGCAGTCGCTGGGCGTTCTCCAGAGAGGTCCAGGCCAAAGCAGCGGCTCCTAGGGTCGTTGAAGTCTCCTGATTGTTCTTTAGCTTCCTTGGAGGTTGCTGGACCTCCATCATTTCATTGGCCAGCACCCCATGTTTTGGCTGCACAATCTGGCCTCGAATATCGCTCGTTATAATGCACTGGTCGCCTTGGCATTGCAAGCTCTCCAAGGTCATCTGCACCCCTCTTATGGAGCACACATCATCCTGCAGAGCAAGAACGTCGGTCTTGAGGCCCAGCTCTTTGGAAACAGCGTTTAGACGTGCCCCGCATTCAGCAACCGGCAGTTTGGAGGAGGAAGACACAATCACCTTCTTGAACTCAACACGAGGCACAGTGCTCCGCTTGACCAATTGGTCGACCACCATGCCGACCAAACGCTGCTCCTCGCTTCGGAAGGGAGCGCTCGGTGTCCTCACAGCAGCCGCAATGACCACCGGGTTTTTGTACACGGTAGCCGGCAGGGTGGGGAGCCATGGTGTAACAACTGCCAAATGCTGTGGAGACGGATATGGTTAGCGAATGTCTTCGTACATCGGATCAACGCACTGTCTTGGGATGCAAGGCCGCAAACTTCCAGACATCTTCACCTTCTTCGGGATTCCCCAAGTTACAATTTTAGTAACCTTTCATTATCTTTTGTGTGACAACAAAATGTGTTTTCTTGGTGATACCCAGTGCCCCCGATGAGCGGTGTATATCAGGCTTAATATTGATTATATGATAAAATTTATTTGTGGATTTTTAAACTTTATTAAAAAAAACCTTTCTTTTCTTTGATAAAAGACCCTTAAATAAACAAAACATAATGATAGACCATCACAGGGTATTAATTATTCGAATTATAATCTTTATAATCGTTCTAATCTTTCATTTTTCGATAGGCAGTCAGCCTGCTATCGAATATCCCTTGTATCAGCTGTTGGGCATCTGTGAAAACAATAACAGTAACGGAGAAAGTTAGTTTACCTTCGAAAATTTGTTAATTGCTTGTAATTACCCAACCGAACTCACTCAATCTTGTATCAACTGATTTACTACCAAAAATTGTACTAAAGAAAACTTCTCCGACTCGAAAGTTCAATGGAAGTGACCTTCAAAAAGGCCAGACTCATGAAAGATATAAACTCGGTGCAAGCCAATGGTGAGGAAAGCGAATCCGAATGTGAAAGCGAAAGTTATCCGGATAGCCACACATATGGTTGGTGGGCTTTGCCGGAACCTACGCTCCTTAACATTTTCGAGCGTCTGTCTGTAGTTGATCTGCTGCAGGCGAGCCTCTGTTGCCGCAGATGGAACGAGGTCGCCAACGATGACTTGCTGTGGCGACTGAAGTTTCAGGAGCGCTTTAGAGCCTCTCCGAGCATTCAGCTGAAGCCGGGGGCTCAGAGTTGGCGTCATGAGTACCAGCGATTGTCCACACACATACCCTTTGTGCTGACGCAGCGCTTGGAGCCAACGATGGAGACCAACCACGGACACACACATCAGGTGCTTCACGTGAGCTTCGCCCACAACGGAGAGATGTTCGCCACCTGCTCCAAAGATGGATATGTGATAGTAAGTGTACTTTGCTCCCTGATGGGAAGACTCATTTGAAGATTTCAATTAACAGGTGTGGAACTCGAATCATCCATGCACCGAGAGGTATGCGCATAATATGAAACAGTTCAGCTGGAAGTATTCCCAGTACTCCCAGTTCAACCAGAGCGACACCCTGTTACTTGTCTCCGGAGTGCATTTCGGGACGCCGCAATCTACTTCAGGGGAAATTGCGGTGTTCTACTTGGGAGCGACCGAGTCACACCTTAGATGTAGGGTTGTGAATCGTCCCTATGACATATTCGGCACCTGGTTTAGCGACCAGTATCTGATCTCCGGCGACCTGCATTGGCTGGCCCACTTGGTGAGTACTTCGGTTCTGTGGCTTAATAAGGCGAACCAAGAGATAGACTCGGAACACGTTCCGATAATGAGTCAAATGTACAAATTCTACAACCGCAATGCCAGTTCGGTCAGGGCTATTATGATAGCTAGGTGCCCATGGCTGGAAGAGAGCAACGATCCGTTAGCCGCAGCAGCGGAGGCTGCATCCAGTACTGCTGCTCCGCCACCCAAAAATGATCCGGGACCTAGCTCGTTGGCAAGTGGCAATCCACTGTCCCATGCAGCTAGCCTGCGTAGGACGAGAAGTGCTACACCCGAGGAGAGTAACCTGCCTGACATCAGCGAGCAACGTTCCAAGGAGCGAACTGGAGACGCCACCATCCATTATCTGGATGAGTACAGAAAGGCGGTGGCCCCAGCGAGCGAGGCCAACGAAGAGGAAGATGACGAGGAGTACGAATCGATGGACGTGCATGAGGAATATGACGAACTAGAGAGCAATATGCCCAAGTATCTCATATTCTCGACGGGCTCCAAGACCTTTACACCTCACCAGATCGGCTTTAAGCGCATTCGAAACGTTTACTTCCCAAAAAAACTAGATCCTGGTCCCTCGTTGAAGCAGAGGATAGCCGCCAAGAAGGCTGCAGAGCAGCAGCAACAGCAGACACCCCGCACCGATCCCGACTGGTGGGACTATGAGTCCGTCAAGGATCGGTTTGACCAAGTTGATAAGGTGATAGATCTCCACGGGCACATAATTGGCATGGCGCTGAGTCCAGATCACCGATACTTATATGTTAACACACGTCCATGGCCGCACGATTACGTTATTACCAATCCACTAGAACCACCGCCAATCGCACAAGAGATCGACATCCATGTAATAGACCTTATGACCCTAAAACGGGTGGGAAACATGCTACGGGCTCACAAGGCCTACACGCCCAGCACAGAGTGCTTCTTCATTTTTCTCGATGTCTGTGAAGAATATGTGGCCAGCGGGGCTGAGGACCATCATGCCTACTTGTGGGATCGCTACTACGGCATCAGCCTGGCAAAGTTTAAGCACTCGGATGTAGTTAATAGCGTAGCATTTAATCCTCGTGACTCCGAAATGCTTGTGACCACCAGTGATGACTACACTATTAAGGTAAGTTTTTAGTCTGAATTATAATATTTTATTGTTAATATTTTAATTTCTTCCACAGGTTTGGCGCTCTAGGGCCAAGGCAAAGGAGTACAACATCCCAGTGAACGTAAGCGAATCCTTTGAGCTCAAGCACAAGAACTGAGGTCTCCGAAACCTGCCACCCGGTTGTTCTCGCCTTAAATTATCGCAAGTTAGAATAACTGCCCGACGATATTATCTTTTTTTATGGTGTTTAGTGTTCAAAGATAGTTGGTTCGAATTTGTTAACGTTTTTAAATTATACATATTGAAAATTATGTTAGCCCTACACATTTCCTGCCTTTTCCAAATCGTTGCCTTGGTTGGGGGCTTGTGGCTTGGAGGGCGTGGGAACGGGCTCTGCAGGTGGAGCGATTTCTGCGGCCTGTGTCGACGTAGAAGGCACATCCGGCAGCAAACTCTGAGGAGTTGATCCGTCCCCGTGATCGTGGCTATGGTTGTGCTTGGCGTTCCTCTTCCGCTTCTCGGGATGGCCAAAACAGTGCTCGCAGTCTTCATCGTCCTCAGAAGAACTCTCGCCGAATGCCAGTGGCTTTCGGTATATGCAGCAGCCTAAAACGAAGGTTGGATGAATTACACATGGAAGTTTTTTAAGAAACTTAAAAAGTGGTCGTTACATTTGGACTTTTTGCGATTTAGGTGTTCGTTGTCAATGACTCCGTCGTGAAAAACCACCCGGCGTTCATCTCTAGGATGTTCCAGGCGCAGCTGTAGAGTGGGTGTGGTGCGGGTGCCATTAGTGGCATCAGTTTCATCTACTATTTCGGTGGTCGTCCCATTAGACGACTCAGTGGAAGGTTTTTGGGCCATTTTCAATAAAGTAAATAATAAGTAATGAGAAGTGTGAACGTATGGAATTATCTGACAGCTGATTTTTTTCTTTTGTTTTGGTTACAAATCAGTCTGGCAACGTTGGTATAAATTTTAATTTGAATTGAAAATCAATGAATTTTAAAGAAGACGGTTTACTACTAAGAATTTTACAATTTAATTTTAAAATATTTTTAAAAAGGTGTTAAATTTAACTCATTAAAATATACGTATAATTATAAATGCCAACAATAAAAGTATATAAAAAAAGCTCTTGATTTTCATAAATTTAAATAGGTATAAGCAATGAATTTGATTATCCTGCTTAAAATATTTGAAAGTATATTTTTAATATTGCAATTTTAATTTTTTAACGATTTTGTGCAATTAACATTCTTCTGAATAACCCTAATGAATTTCGATCCGGCAACGCCGTGCACAAACGTCACAATTTAGCTGTCAGCCAGTTGACTCGAAAATGGCAGCAATTGTGCGATTTAATTTGTTAGCTTCGCCGCAAATTGGTAAATAATAGAGTTATACACACCCCCTCTCAATATAAAGGCTTTTCCTCTTTACTGGTTCGCCCATTTGGGGCTGTGGCAAGGCCTCCAAATCGTCAAATCTCTAAATTCCTTGCTATCAAATTATGTAATTTTTGCGTAAAGCAAAACAAACGTTTGTTGGTTCACTGCGTATTTTATTGATTTCTCGTGTGTTTTGCAGTTGCGGCTTTGCCGGCGAGGCTAAACCTGCAGCGTCTACAGAGCACTCAGGCTCCACCACCAGGAACTCCTCCGCCGCAGACGAAGACCAAGTTTGGTCCCCTGGCCGATGAGGACCGTATCTTCACCAACCTGTATGGTCGCCACGACTGGAGGCTAAAGGGAGCCCAGAAGCGCGGCGACTGGTACAAGACAAAAGAGATTGTGCTGAAGGGCCCTGACTGGATTATCAATGAGATCAAGACGTCGGGTCTCCGCGGACGTGGAGGAGCTGGCTTTCCCAGTGGAATGAAGTGGTCGTTCATGAACAAGCCCGGCGATGGTCGCCCCAAGTACTTGGTGGTCAACGCCGATGAAGGTAAGTAAGATGGCTCGTTCACAAAGCAGATTAATCTACTTCTCATTCTATTACAGGTGAGCCTGGCACCTGCAAGGATCGCGAGATTATGCGACATGATCCTCACAAGCTGGTTGAAGGCTGTCTGATTGCCGGTCGTGCCATGGGAGCCCAGGCCGCCTACATTTACATTCGCGGCGAGTTCTACAACGAAGCTTCCAACATGCAGTTGGCCATCGCCGAAGCCTACCAGGCTGGTTTGATTGGCAAAAACGCCTGTGGAACTGGATACGACTTCGACGTTTTCATGCACCGTGGAGCTGGCGCTTACATTTGCGGCGAGGAGACTGCTCTAATCGAGTCCCTGGAGGGTAAGCAGGGAAAGCCCCGCTTGAAGCCGCCATTCCCCGCTGATGTGGGCGTTTTCGGTTGCCCCACCACAGTGACCAATGTCGAGACAGTAGCTGTAGCTCCTAGTATTTGCCGTCGCGGTGGTGCTTGGTTCGCCAGCTTTGGCCGCACCCGTAACTCTGGAACCAAGCTTTTCAACATTTCCGGCCATGTGAACAGGCCGTGCACTGTGGAGGAGGAAATGTCCATTCCGCTTAAGGAGCTCATCGAGCGCCACTGCGGAGGCGTTACTGGAGGCTGGGACAACCTTCTGGGTGTTATTCCTGGTGGCTCCTCCACCCCCATCATACCTAAGAACGTGTGCGATGATGTGATCATGGACTTTGACGGCTTAATTGCTGCGCAAACCTCCCTGGGAACTGCTGCTATCATTGTCATGGATAAGTCGACGGACGTGATCAAGGCTATCGCGAGGCTCATTTCGTTCTACAAGCACGAGAGTTGTGGCCAGTGCACTCCTTGTCGCGAGGGTATTGGCTGGATGAACAAAATCATGACTCGGTAAGGTCGAACCTCCTGTATCCTGTATATTTCCATCATTTGAATCATTTGTCTTGGGTTGCAGATTTGTCAAGGGTGATGCTCAACCCGCTGAGATCGATATGCTGTGGGAGATCTCCAAGCAAATTGAGGGACACACTATCTGCGCTTTAGGTGACGGTGCTGCATGGCCAGTTCAGGGCCTCATCCGTCACTTCCGACCTGAGGTCGAGAAACGCATGCAACAATATGCGCAGCAGGCGAACCGGGCCTCCAACTAAGATACAAATGTTATAGCTAATTTTATTGATTTCTTCTACCCGAGCGCTGCTAGCAGCAAATAAAGTGTAATGTTCTCCAAACATAGATATTTTAAATGTTACTTTTAATCGGTGGAATTTATAAGTATCAGGAGTGCCCTTTAATTTAATTTCAAGGTTTTAATGTGATTGATGACAGCCTGTATATCCTCGGAATCTGGTGACTGGTAGCTTGGTGGAAAACTGCAAAGACTCAATGGGCCACCTATTTGCTTTTCAATTCCTGGTAACTCCTTGCAACGCGCCGGTAAAAATTGGTATCTGTTATAAAAATAAACTATAAGGATAAGTTTTATTTAAATTTAAGAATCAACCTACTCTTTAGCTTCGCCCATCGAGGCTACACAGAGAAATGCCATCAGAAAAAGTATCACTGTTTTAAAAAGCATTTCAAAATTAGCTCAGAAGTCCGATCCGGTGTCTATAACGTCCAATATTCGACTGCTTCGATGCTACAAAGTTATTAGTTAAGAATACTTCTCAGATTGGCCACATTTGGATGATAATTTTAAGCAAAACCTGGAATTTTTTCTCATTTAAATAGCATTTTACGAGTAAGTCTTAATGAATTATTAATGCACCTCGGTTTGGCTAAAACTTTTTAATAGAAAATGCCAATTCCATCCAGAATGCCGCCATGATAAAGCAATTTTAATTCTTAATTATTACTCGACGATTATTATTCATAATTATGAGGTGTGCTACGTGTCACTGATGATTCAATGATTTTGTAACAAAACCTTCAGCTATAAAAAAAAATTATATAAAATAGTTTCAAAACCTCCTAATTATATCCATAAATATAAATTCAAAATGCAATTTTTGTAGTAAAACAATGACTATTGGTATGCAGTTTATTTATAGGTTGTCTTTTTTTCGATGAAATTTTAGTTAAAGTACAAAATAATATTTATTTAGATTTAAAGATTAAACAATTTCAGATGGTTTTAATGAAACAAAAATCTATATAAAATAGTAGTTAACCACTAGGTGGATGAGTTATTCAGACAGATTTAAAATAAAATAAAAAAAGTCGAAATTCCTAGAAGAGTTCCCAGATAGACAATGAAACCCGCTCCTGAGTCTGATCTTCTGGATCTGAAACACTAATGTATTCCTTTGAATAACACTACACAGGAGGTTCAGTTTACTGAACAATATTAAAAATGACTAGAAAAGTGTATAAAGAATTAAGTTTCGTATAAATACGTTTACAATACTATGTTTGTTTTTGTTTTTTTAAACCATTTCCACACATATTATTTTTTTTTTGTTAATTTTTTTTGTTTGTTTTATATGTATATGTAGTTGTATGTATAAATTTAGTATATATGCTTGTTTTTTATTAGGTATGTATTCGAGTTTAGGTTTTTTAGTTGGTTAAAAGTTTTAGATTTTGTTTAGTTTGATTCGTTTTGGTTTCGATTTTGGTTTTGACTTGGCTTAAAGCGTTTACTTATTGCTTATCTATGAGAAGGAACATAGTACAATATTTCAGCTTAAAAGACTAAACAACATTTCGAAGAAGTCACTAGTAGAGTTCTCTATTTACTTATGTATTTTCTTTTTTTTTTAAATATTTTTTTTGTTCTTGTTTTTTATTTTATTTTTTCGTTAACGTTTTTGCTCATCTTAGGCAGGAGTTGCATAGCTTCAGGGGCACAATATTTTTTTAGCGTTTCAGTTTAAAAAGGCTTCAACTATAACACACTGCTATGAAAATGATTCGCGAACTATAGTAGTTGCTTAGAGCTTTTGAAAAACATCATCTACATAGATAGGGGGTTTGGAGGCATTTTGGGGATTCGAGGGGGACTTCAGGAGGGCGTAAGTAAAAAATATATATATATATATTATATGCTTTTATGTGTCTATACAATATGTATATCAAGTTTAGTTTAGTATCACAACTAGTAGAGATAATGCGAAGAGGCCTGAGCTCTATACTGTTTCGGTGTCAGCTTGATCAGCTTGGGGTTGAACGCCCCAAGGGCCGCCTCGTTGGTGGATGACGGTGGCGGCGGGGCTGTGTGCGTCCGGAAGCGCGACCTTAGAAAATTTTGCATGGAGCGCAGCCGGATGATGGGGGCGCAGGGCGATTGTCGAAGCGAGTTGTGGTTTAGCGCCCAGTATATCACCGGACTAATGGCCGAATAAAAGTAGCCTGCAAGTGCATCCCAAGGGCTATAGTAACAGTAGGATTACCTCCTAAAAAGATGGACTCACCAAGCAGAAGGCTGAAGTAGACAGAGGTCTGGCTGCAGTGCTGTTTGTAGCCGAAATTCGTGTAGAAGATACAGAAGACATGCGGCGCCCAGCAGGCAATGAAGATTACGGCGGATGCGATTAACATATTGGCCAGATGCCGGCGGGATCGCAGCGTCGAGGTCTGGGGCAGCGGGATTCCCGGCGTGGCAGGACCCCTCCCCGAGCGATGGATGCGCTGGCGCTGCGAGTGGGCCCGAATCTCCCTCATGGCCCTGGAGATATCAAAAGGTCAAAGTTTAAAATGAGAAACAAACGAAGAAACTATTCCTAGAAGTACCTGGGTGATATGGGATTGCTGGAGCGATAGGAACCCGGTTCAAGAGCCATTCCCGGCATGCGAGGCTGGAGGGCATGCAGTTGGATGTCACCAGGACTCACGGCCATGGAATCCCCTCCAGTACCCCCGCCGTTACCATTACCGTTCGACGTTCCGTCCGCCGTGGTGGCGCCTCCGCAAGCCTCCTGCTGAGCATTGGGGCAGCCAGTTACGATTACCATATGCGTCTGGCGGCGCAGGATGGGGATGGGCAGCGGCAGCTCGCCGTGGGCCGCCCGAGCCGTCAGCGACAGGGCGCAGAGCTTGCGGCGCACCCCACAGTGGTTGAGTAACACTCCCAATCCCGGAAGCACGAAGACAGCGATCGTATGGAAGATGATGAACATGAACATGGAGTTGGCACTCAAGTCGGAGGTGCAACTGATGCTGACCGGATTCGGAGTGGTGTTGGCTCCCCGGCTGCCACCCTTGACCGTCACCGACTTGGCGATTATCTTGTAGGCGAACAAAAACGGTGTACTAATGGTGGCCGACGCCAGCCAGGACAGGAGGGCCAAGGATACGTGGAGGTAGCGTCGCTGACGCAGTTGCGCCAGGCGGGGATGCTTAACGGTGGCGTAGCGGTCCAGGGAAAGCATGAAAAACGAAATGGTACTGGCCGCTACAGGCATTACCTGGAAAGGGATTTAGTTGAGAGAAACCTTAGTCCAGGATATGGGTCACAGGACCTACCTGAATATAGTGTATAAGTTTACAAAGCACCAGTGGCAGCGATCGCGTCCTGCGGTTCATTGCAAGATTAAGGAGAGTGACGGGAGCAGAGATACCCGTGACCAGAAGATCGGCTATGCAGACGGCCAGCAGTAGAGGATTCCGCAGACGAACCGACGAGGCCGAGCACAGGGTGAGGACCAGCGTGGAGTTGCCGACGACGCCGCCAAAGACCACCAGGCCATAGCTAATCGCGAGGAGAAGCAGCGTCAGCGAGGAGATGGCGTGATCGGGGTCACCATTGGCTGCATCCAGATCGTAGGGATTGCCTATACTAAAGTTGCCGTAGTCGAGGTCGGCCGGAGAGCCATCGTGGTCCGTGGAGAGCTGGTTATAATCGAGCGTTGAGTAGTGAAGCTCCGCGGAGTCGAGGTCATGACTGGTGTCCAAGTGTTGGCGCCGGTAAGAGTTCTCCCACCATTGCTGCAGATTAATGCTGCTCATTCTTTCGTCACTGATTCCGGACTAATGGCCTGCCGTGGTCTGGTCCGTGCTTTGTGTTCGGTGTGGCGGGATTCGCTGGCGATGCGTTTGTTTGGTCGCCTCATTTCATACTAAAGGTGCTGCCATGTGGCGCCTAATGAAAAGGTAAAATGGTAACAAAATGCCATCATCGTCATCAGTTTGCTATTCTCCGGCAGAGCCAGAGACCTTATCTCCTGCCCCCCCAGACACTGTTTGCCAAATTTGTACCACCCAGCACACACTGGCAATCGCACTCACATTCGTCCTCCCACGGAAGTGGGCATCTCGTCCTCTAAACATGCTCCTCTTCACCTCGACCGCTGACACTGACACTTATGCAATAAGAGCACGAGACCGAATGGGAACAAGGCCCACTTAGAGATTAGTGCTTCGCTTCCTTCCGCATTCCGCCATAGGATGTCACATCCTCCCACAACCTCTACCTCTTTGGTGCCCCTTATTTTCTGTCGCCGGATTCCAAATGAATGGCAACGTAGCCTTGCACTTTTCGCCCTCGACAAACTAACGCCGGGTGAGCTTTTGGGTCTCCATGTGACCATCCTCTATGGGTCCTACCTCTAAAAGGTGATTTTCTGAACTTCAATAGGACATACTACGAGGGAACTATCTTTAATTTGGAAAAAAGGGCTTAGATGGATCCATAGTCCTTTCAGGAAGGCAAACGATATATTTTTAATGATGTTCTAAGACCTTTTTTTTAGCTTTTAGAAATATCTATGGTATTCAGATGTTTATGAGTTTATTTTAAAATATTTCCCTTAAAAATTGTCCTACTTTTAAGATGGTTAAGACCCCTATACAGGTCGGGTGACCCAAAAAAAAGGATATATGAAAGGATAGTTTTATTCAGCCCACAACATTTCACTATATTTTCGGTGGATTTGACCTTGTGGGGATAATGAGTCACCCTGCTTCAAAAATCCTTTCTGATGCATCTACGTATGAGCAATGGCACCTCCCCCTCCCAATCCCTTAGTTTGCCTTTTGTTTGGGTCTGAGCAGCGGATGCTGGTATGGGTAGGGGGAGGCATCCGATGGATATCGGGAGATGGAGAGCCTGTCGCTGGCATCAGCGGCTTGCGTCAGCCTTTACGATGCTGTGTATCAGTTTTATTTTGCGAATGAATGCAGGAGGCGAGGCGGGACGGGGCAGGGGCAGGGACAGAGGCAGGGTCAGGGATACAAGAGGCTGCCGACTCCCAGCCGCCATTGTCCTGCGCAGTGCCTGTGTGTGGGTGGGTGGGTTGGTTGTGCGATGTCAACGCTTTTGCCTTTTGCTGTGGTTTCTCCTCTGCTCATTGCGGCTGATGATGTGACAGACGTTTGCTTAATTTGCGTTAATTTAATCGTGGCCGACACAGTGTGCTACCCCCACATGTGTTTGGATGAGCCAGAGTCTTCTATGCAAGGATGGGTGGTTGTTGGGGGCCCAAGCTGCTCCTGTCACTTTGCCAGCTAGTCCTTGGTCTTGCGAGCCGCCACAGCCAAAGAAAGGAAGCCCAGACTATTTTTGTTTTCATTAATGCATCCCCCCCCTCAGACTAAACAGGTGCCTCGGCATGTGTGTGTACAATGTGCGTACTTTTTCTTATTTGCTTACAATGCCAATAACCTGTTGAACTGCCTTGCGGAATTCTCATTATTTTGATGTTTCGTGGTAATAAAATAGGAAGTGAGGTTGTATTTTCTTAAGGATTGTTCTGACAATCCTTTCTTGAGATTATTTTAGCAAAATTGTAGCAGATTAGCTTGGAAATGGTATGTTAGTTTTTACTTTAGTGTTTTTTTAGGATGAAAGCGCACTGTAAAGGTGTTAAAAATATCTTATTTTTATAGATTTTCTTTTTTTTTTTAGATTTTATTGATCTTTAAACTCTATTTATTGGTATAAGATATATGAAAGTTCTCCTAAACTTGAAAAAATGGAACAGATACTAACATTTTGTCTTTCATTATTTTAAATGATAAGGTGCCCTAAAAAATAACATAATAATAATCCCATAGTTATTACTATCCATATATCCAAAAATTATCCATTAATGTAAGTTATTCTATATCTTAGAGAAGTGTTAGCTATAAATACTATTCCCTAATGTTTTATTAATTATTAAAATATTCCTCGAAAACCTTTAACTTTTAATATTTCTCCCTAAATAGCTTAATCTTCCAGATAAATCCCCCAAAAACCATCATTATCCTGTTAGTCCTTTTAGCTCCTTTTAGCCCAAATCCAAATCATCCATGACAAAATTTGATTGTATTGAAAATATAATTGAAAATAAAGTGTGTATGTATTAATTTGCGTCATTCAAACGTCAGCAACAAGCACAAAAGGTGACAAAAGCCAAGCTAAGAGATGGAAGAGAGGCGCCCCAAGAACCCCAACCGTGGCGGCCAATGAGCTAAAACGAGAAAAAGAGCGAGAGATGTGCCTCATGCCCCGGGCCATGCTACACGCTATAAGTATGAAAAGTGTCCGCCACAGGTGAGTTAATAAGGTTGATAGATCTACAACCAGAAACTGAAATGAAAAGTACTATCCTAGTTATATTCTTCACAAGATTCTGGTACTTTCGCATGTGACTTTCCTTTAACTTTAGCTCGCCCGTTTGCTTTTTGTCTGTCTTTATTGATTTTGGCAGCTTTTATACTCATATTATGAGCAGTAACTGGAGGGGGAGGAGGGGGAGGACTGGCCAGGTCCAGACTTCTTGTCCGTTGGCTTCTTCGTGACTGCCACAATGGCAGGCAAACATGCTTTGTATTTGGCAGATGGGCGCGCTAAAAAGAATTAATTATTTTTTTTATATTTATGGCCTCTTTTTTCCGACTAATTCAAAGCCAAAAGAATGGATTTTATGAAGGGCCCTCTCATTAATTCATTTCAGCCAACTAACTATTATGTGGGCGGGAAAATGGGTAGGTATGCGTACTATATAAACCTAAATCCCCCAAAAAAAAAAACCTGAAAATGGCTCATCACATGGCCGTGTTAAAAAACGACACCATAATTACAAACCATAAAAATGCGTGGCATGACAAAGGCAAAAAAATAATGTTGCATACCAATTAGTGCGGCATCAAACACACACACACACACACATACTGACAGCAAGGAGCTACACCATGTCGTATACGTAATAACCTACCGTGTAGTCAGTCGACTATAGATTTTGTTGGTGGCTCTGATTCTGGGATTCTGTTTCAGATGCTATTTTGTTGTTGTTGTGATTGGCTGCTTCTGTTGCTTGTTTTTTTTTGTAAAGGCACTGTAATTTACAGTTAGATTCTATTTGTTTTGCTGCGCCCGCCGATTGGATTTTTTCTTCTCAAATTTATTAAATACACTTTTAGCAAATATGATACGTGATTCAGGTGTTTTGTGCTTTGTAAAATTTCATTAAAAAACTCGGTAAGTCGCCATCTTCGAAATATTCTGTTGATATTGTTACTTTGTGCGCCCGTTTTGGGGTAAGTGTGGGTGTGTGTGTGTGTGTGTGTGGGTGTCGGTGTCGGGGGGTGGGGGGAGAGCGAAAAAAAGGTAAAACGAAACTCAAAGCGCGGCGTGCAGAAACGGTTCCTCAGCGGCGCACATTGCTCGACAGAACCGGATTTCCGTGTATTAGATGCTTCTTCGTTGAGCGCGCGTTTGAAAATAACAGCAAGAACCGATGTCCTTTTTGACCAACTCTATGGCTCTATGGGTCTCTGTTTTTTTTTCAAGTGTTTTAATGGTTCGTGCCTGAGTTTCGTCCTTCGGTTCGCTCTCAACATACTCGTCCTGTCGATGAGGTTTCAGTTGTGCCCGAACGTGAGGTGGCTATAGGATCTCCTATTTCCCTCTCATTCGACAGGACATGTTGCGTATAATCACTAACCATACAGCATATAGACAACCCATTTCATACAACGAAAATGGACGCAAAAATTTCTTGCGACAGGCCCCAGCAGGCCCCAGAGCGGATTTCTTACGCTCTCATACGCTCATGGTTCGTTCATCTTACGCTCATTCTCTCATTAAATGTTTTCTGTTTCTCAGTCTCTAAACGGAGCGCGATGAAGAAGGTTGGCCTGCGCTTGGTTGATCTTCGTATGTATGCGTGTCACACATTCACATACATGGGTGTATGTGTGCGTGCGATTTCGTTTCGAAGCCAGCGCACAAAATTTTGATTTTCTTACTTTTCAGGCTTGCTACCCTAACAAAATTCGGGTATTCGTTATTTGATGAAATGACGAAAGAAATTATATTATTTTTATATTCTATTTTTTATTATTTCAGCATACATTTTTAATTTATTTAGGAATAAGATTGAGTGTTAGTAGTAAAATGTTTTCTGTATATATATTTTTACGAATCATTAAAAATCAATATACTGAGAATATGTCAGAGTATATTTCGGTCGGAGTCACTTAAACAAATTCGAGCGGCGACTTTTAAAGTTCCAAAATATATAAGGAAATTATTAAATTAACGACAATAATTTAATTAAATCTCACAATAACCCAAAATAATAACAAGTGCCTGAAAAATTGTAAACAAAAAAGGTAAACAAGTCCATGAGCTGTTTTCGGTTCTTCACCCTCCCCTAAAAATCATTCCATCGTTAGAGTAGGCATGCACAAGCCTCTTGCAAAACAACAAAAACTTAAAAGCAATCGGCGTTTTAAGTGACTCCGACTGAAATATACTCTGACACTTTCTCAGTATATTGATTTTAATGATTCGTAAAAATATATATACAGAAAATATTTTACTACTAACACTTAATCTTATTCGTAAATAAATTAAAAATGTATGCTGAAATAATAAAAAATAGAATATAAAAAATAATATAATTTCTTTCGTCATTTCATCAAATAACGAATACCCGAATTTTGTTAGGGTAGCAAGCCTGAAAAGTAAGAAAAATCAAAATTTTGTGCGCTGGCTTCGAAACGAAATCGCACGAACACATACACCCATGTATGTGAATGTGTGACACGCATACATACGAAGATCAACCAAGCGCAGGCCAACCTTCTTCATCGCGCTCCGTTTAGAGACTGAGAAACAGAAAACATTTAATGAGAGAATGAGCGTAAGATGAACGAACCATGAGCGTATGAGAGCGTAAGAAATCCGCTCTGGGGCCTGCTGGGGCCTGTCGCAAGAAATTTTTGCGTCCATTTTCGTTGTATGAAATGGGTTGTCTATATGCTGTATGGTTAGTGGTATAATGTAGCAGGGTGCGAGAGAGAGATCCGACTTTCCATCCTTGTCCTGGACAACATGTTCGCAAGGACCCGAACGAAGGACCCTGGACTCTAACTCTCTGAGTTGTAGAGCTTTTGTGGTTGAATAGCAGGTCCTGAATCCGGAGTCAAAAGTCGTCATCGAAGAGAGCGAATCGAGCCTTTGGCGTAAGCTTTCCGCCCCCTAACTTTCGCTTTCCGTCATCAGCCAGGAGACTAGGACAATGGACGAATCAGGACAGCCCAGGAATAGTTAGGGTACGGTAGAGCCCCGCTTTTAAAGGACTAATAATATATTTTTGTATTGAAAGATAGTTTCCGTTTTGAGTGTTGGAAAACTTTATCCGAAAAAAAAGCATTGCATACTTGTAGGCTTTAATTTTTTTCTCATTTCCGGTTGTACTTGGATAACTTCTGAATGTATCTTTTTACTTTTTAAAACTAAGAATACAAATTTTTAAAAATATCCCCTCTTATTAATAAAATTCAAGACTTTTTTTCTAAATACTAACTTTTATTTAAATATTCATTTGTATATAGTTAAAATGCATGATGTACTTGTTAATAGTTGCAACTGTTTGGATTTCTTCCATGGTATACTTTAGATTTGCACCTATGCTCTTAATTCGTTAAGTATTGTTTTTTTTATATTTGTAGTTTATTTTGTTTTTCTCACACTGTTCAAAAAAAGAATACTGAACTTGTTTCTTGTACATTAAACAAATAAAAATAAATGAACATTGGATTTGTGAGTACATTTGTAAAAATTAAAGGTGGGCGACAATAAATAAAAACGAGAAGGGAAAGATGAATCAAAATGGAATCAATTACAGTTATGAGAATAAATTAAAGATTGAAGCAAAATCTGAGATTATCGTATAGTATAAATATCGAGAATAAGGTAGCTAAAAACTTTCAACTTATTTCATAAAATTTGATGGGTGCGTTTGTGTTTTTCGACTTCGATAAGTAGCAGCAGCATAGTTTCATCGATCAGTTCTCAGAGTTTCTGATAGTGTGGTAGTTCTGGTTCGGTAACCCACTTGGAGCAGTATTGTAGTTGGCAGCGGTATACATTAAAGCAGCATATTGCCACTTTTGGGAAAGCCCTCTTAATCATCAATAGTGTATTCGGACAACTTGTCGTACTTTTGCTTGGTAGCCTCATGGGTGGTGTCTACAAGCAGCGCTGTGTGTGAATAACCCATGGTCACCTGAGGTATCTTAATGCCATCCATCTTTGGCACCTCCTTGGGCACCGTTGAGGACTTCTGGAACTCGCCGATTCCCAACTCGCCAAATGTGGGCGAAGCGCCCCAGGCAATCAGTGTATCATCGGCCGAAATCACTATCGAGGTATTGGCGCAACCAATATCGGTAATGTTCCACCCGGATAGGTCCTGAACAGGCTTCGGATACATATTGGCTTCTCCTGTCTTCTTATTCTGACCAAACAGAAACAGTAGGCCGAGCTCGTTGACAACCAGACTGAATGTGGAGCCACAGAAGACACTGCGACCGCCGCGGCCTTGAGCATCGTAGAATTTCATGAGACGCGGCACCATCTCGTCCTTGGGCTCGGCGTGGCCAAGGCGCCCAAATCCACCAAAGCCCCAGCTGTATACCCGCTTCTTGGAGTCAATGGCCACCTGAAAAGTAAATAAAAGCAGATAAGAAATCGGAAAATATAGTATGTTGTACCTCTTACCGTATGGTTATTTCCGCAGGCAAAGTCGACTATCTGGACACCGTCTACGGGCGTGACATGGCCTTCCTTGCTCTTCTCAATGTAGAGAACAACCTTCTTGGGCGATGTCTCGAAGTGGAATGACAGTTTGTTGGCGTTTACAAAGTACTTGGCATCCGTGTTGTGACCAAGTTGGCCGTATTCCGGCAACCCGAAGGTGTGAAGATTGCCCTTGATGTCCAGGATGACTGAGAACTCAGCACCGCATCCGATCCGAATGATGGGTGGGCCACGGTAATTGATTGGGGTCGGAGTGTAGATGTTCGCGTGAGTGTTACCCACGCCGCATTGTCCCGACTTGTTTTCACCGCAGGCGTACACGGTGCCTGTGTCGGTGAGGAAGAGTGTGTGGTGTCGCCCGACGGCCGCCTGCACCACGTTCTCCTGCTCCAAAGCCGGTATGATCGTAGGCTTCTCCACCAGCTTGATGTCCTGGCTAAGACCCAACTGACCGCTTGGATTCCGTCCAAAGCCCATCGCCTTACGGTCCATATTGATAAGAATGGTATGAGCAGCACTTGGACCGCTGGCCACATAACGATACTGCGCAAGAGAAGCACATATAGATCACACATATAGAAGCCCAAGGAGTGACTTACCTTTTCATCCGTGAACCGATGGAAACTGTATAGATTTGGACGCACTTTTGTGACGTTTTTGCGATCTCGCTTGCCGGTCAAGTCCCAGGTGACCATTCCAGCCAACAACAACTGTCCCGGTGTCTTTTCCAAAGAAGCCAGAAGGTCCTCGGGCAGCTTGCTGGGTGGATCAAGGTCGTCATGGGGGATGAGAACCTCCATTTGATTAGCGGCGGCAGCCTGCTGTGCGGCATCATCATCGGAGTCATCACTGAAGTCGTCCTCGTAGTCGGACTCCTTCTTCTTGGGGCGCCGCTTGTTGGGTCCGGCTCCATTTCCACCTGCCTTACGTTTAGCCGACATTTTTGTTTCGATTATTGGTGCTGGGCTGCTGCTGCTTCGACCGGGTATGTTTTGCTCTGCTGAAATGAAATGGGAGTCTGAGAACCAAAACCAGAATTTGTACGCAGCAAAGCGTAACGCACAAGCCGCTTCGCTCTCCCGCTCGGCGGTGGTGGTGGTGGTGATGGTGGTGGTGTTGTCTGTTTGTGTATGTCGTCGGTGTGTCCCCTGTTTGAGTGGTGGTTTTTGCAAGAAAACAAAATGAAAGCCGCTGCCGCAGAACCGACGCTAGGCTGTTTTTTTTTCTTAATTCTATTCATGGATTACTCAATAAATACACACTTGGGAAGGTCAAATAGTTTTGACTACGAAATATAAACTTCTGAGCTTATTAAGCAGTCAGCTACCACCTCAGCTTCAAACTGGACGCGAAAATTAAAAGTAGCGTCACTTCACAAATACAAAGACGCATTTCCCAACATTTCAATCCATAGAGTTTCACTCTCAAATCGAAGCCACTTTCAAGAACTACTTTCTTTTTAAGCTTTCCATATAGTATTCTCAACTTAGACTTACTTTTTAATTGATAATTGTAGCTCTTTGCCGGAAACTATCAAAATTAAGGTTTGAAGAACTGAGTCCAATCGGACACCTGGAATCGTGTTGGTAAACGTGAGAAAAACTGTTTTTAAAATCAGTGTTGTACAATTTTCCAAAACAATGTTGAAAAATAAGAAACTACAGTGAGCACGGCCTATAAATTACAGATTCCACAATTTGGTTTTGAAATAATACATTTTATTTAAAGAACTTTTATGTTGATTTAGAATAATTTTGAATTGGCTGATTTTTTAAAACCTTATAAGGGGCTGGACTTGGCGCTCTCGATAATCAGTCACATCGGGCATAAGTTCCTGCCGGAAGCGTTCATGGATCCGGATGAACTCCTCCAGTGTCCGCTTTCGTTGTTGCTCAGAGCATTTGGTACGGCGTGGAACTCGAGGTAATACTGAGGTTACCGGATCACTTGGTTCCGGATAAAAGATGCTGGTACCATGGTGGGCAGGCGGAGGGCGCCGTGTTGCTTTGGGCGTACCATGCGGAGTACCGTTTCCGTTGGCATCTGGAAGTGGAAAGAGCTTGTATCCTTGCTTTGGCAACAAACAACACATTTTGGCGAATAGTTCGTTAAGGGGCATGTCGACAAAGAGAGACTAATTTCGCCCAGGCACAGTCACACAATGATGATGGACTTTCGTTCGTACTCTACGTTAAGCTAAGATTGGGTTGATGATAATCCAAAGTTTTAAGGGGAAAAACAGCTTTCGCGGACTTTTGCCGCAGAGCGTGTACCTTTGTTGAGGATGGAGGTCTTTTCCTGCTGCGATCTCGCTGTGCTGGATCCAAAGTGTACATTGCTAAATGGCATATCCGGTAACGGGGGAGCTGGCCTATTGAAGGGATTCCTTCTTGGCGGAGGCATAGGTTTGGATCCCTCCATTTGATTTTGAGCGCCAACTTTTGAGTGGCTAAGCATTTCTAAATGTGATGATGAATTATTATACAATGAATTAAAGAGCTGCGTTTCTATCTTCTTACTGTTTTTGGACTGTTCGATTTCGAGGAGCTGTCGCTGGAGCTCAGCCACGACAATCCGTTTGTACTCGTAGCCAGCGCAGGTAAGAGCCTTCATCCACGCCTCCATGCTCTCCTGGTTTTCAGCGGAGAGAATGTACGTGCGATTGCCGTTGAAGGCGATCTCGAAGCAATAGTGCTCCACTTCGTTGGACAATTCAATGGTGCAACCCTCGACAATGATCAGACCGAGGGGCTCCTTATCCATCCGCGACTCGAAATAGAACAGGAGGTTACCCTTCAGAACAAAGTAGCGCCGCTGAAAGGCCTTGTTGACCTCGCCCCGCTTGTTAAGGAAGCCTAAAGCATAATTCGGTGATTAATTGAGATGACAACAGTGATGGTGACGGAGCAACAAACCTTCCATGTCGTAGGGCGGCGTCTTGGCGAACACGTACAAATTTTTTTCGTTAATCTTCATGTTGGCGCACGGTCTTGGACTACATCCGATGTATAAATAAGTGGCCCTGATTCCCTTTTTTATAGTTTTATTGTGTTGCAGGTAGAAAGGTGCGAAAAATAAATCTTTCGAAAACAGCTGATGCCAGTGTTACCACACTTAAAATGCGTTTTTGGATTTGTTTACCAGAGATAAAGCCATACTGTTTTTGTTTCACTTGCTGGATGGATGGTGCTGGCTGATAAAAATGTCATATTTACTCACAGAAATAGCCCTGGAGATGCTGGGCTACAAGTTCTACGACACCAATGGCACTTTCCACCTAACAAACTTCCAGAACAACACAGCACATGCCGAAACCAATTCCGACGAGCCTTCATTGTCGGAATTCATTGACCAGCCAGAATCTTCAAATGGGGAGGCCCAGATGCGGAACGGCGCCCCCAAAATTGGGAATTGCCGCGGGAACAAGACATTCAACTACCCAACTTCCAAAAACCGCGTCGAACACCTGCCAAGGCATTGGCCAAAATAATGGATTATGAAAGCGACAAGATTGCCAGTCAAATCGCAGCTCGTCTGGAGAAGGCCTTCCAGCGCTCGGGGGCGACCGATGAGGCGGTACTAAGAGAAATCATTGAGGAGGAGAAGGCGCTCATAACCGACGACGCCGCGGGGATGCGACGATTCCGAGAATATTTGGAGGAACGCCTTCAGCGAATGGACAAGCAGCCCTACGAAAAGTACCAGCGTACCTTTGGGGCAGAGTAAAATCATCATGTATTCTTTTTGCAGGCAGTCAAATAACTGTCAAATATTGCGTTAAAATATCAATAATAATAAATGGAAAATAAAATAAGATTGAAACACAAATCCTGAAGTTTCAGTTATCGTCTGTCAGTGTGCACACACCAGCGTGGTTAGGCCCGTCGATAACTTGCGTTATCGCGTTCAGGCCATCACTAGAACCACCAGGAACAACACACGAGTAAAGGTCAGCTCTCGTAACTTGCTCTGAAATATCCAATAATTCAGACTTTCCCTTCAAAATTCGTCCTCGTGAACCGCACTAACACACTATCTCGTTTCGCCTTCTCCACTCGTCGTTCCACAGGTTTACCTCGACTCGGTTGTGACTCAGGACAGACCCCCGACCGAACAGTGACGAAAACAGCGCTTGCATAATGAAAATCTGGACGTCGGAGCACATATTCAACCACCCGTGGGAAACGGTCACGCAGGCTGCGTGGCGCAAGTACCCCAATCCGATGACACCCTCCATCATTGGCACGGACGTGGTCGAACGGCGGGTGGAGAACGGCGTGCTGCATACGCACCGCCTAGTGCAGTCCAAGTGGTACTTCCCCAAGTGGACTCACGCGCTAATCGGAACAGCCAAAACCTGCTTTGCCAGTGAGCGGTCCATCGTGGACCCTGAACGCAAGCAAATGGTTCTAAAGACGAACAATCTCACATTTTGCCGCAACATCAGCGTGGACGAAGTTCTCTATTACGAACCCCATCCAGCGGACGCCACCAAGACGCTGCTGAAGCAGGAAGCTACTGTGACCGTGTACGGCGTTCCGCTGTCACACTATATGGAGGATTTGCTCACCTCCACCATCAGTTCAAATGCGGGCAAGGGCCGGCAGGGCCTTGAATGGGTCATTGGCCTGATCAACACAGAAGTCCAGGGCATAGCCCGGGGGACGGATGAACTCTTACACAGTACACGGCGCTCGATTGACGAGGTCACCGAGAGCGCCCGCAAGAGCATGGATGAGATTAGCACGCAGGCTGCAAAGGCGGCGAAAGCAATGCACATAACGTAGGCGGGCTACGGAGCGGCAAGGTGTAGGTGCGGGCCGCGCAAGGCTGTTAAATAGTGAATTATTATTAGATGGCGCTAGGACCGCCGTTGTAGTACAAGTATGATGAATGGCAGATCGACAACTAGCACACACAAGTGGCAGCATCCATTACCCTCCCTTAAATCTTTGCATATATTTTCTATCAAGTCCCTTCCATCTGTTTGGCCATCAACCCTAACTGGAGTTATCCTATTTGGCCAAGAAGCTAGTCCATTTTTCGGGGAACAGTTTCGGAAGGAACTCGCCTAATAATGCTGGGCGCTTATTTAATCAGTCAGATCGAGATGAATAATTACGCAATACACAGATAATGTAACCGTAGAATGCCGCGGCAAGCCAAGATCGAAAAGAGCAACAATAAAACGACAACTACATATGCCTAAGAGCCTTCTAAATTGTTTTATTTTTATCAATTAAGCAGGTAGTGCGCTCTTGGCAGCGTCTCCTGACTTACTATTTCTGTTGCTGTAATCTTAAAGTTCGACAGTGTGTGTGTGTCTGAATTAAATTCTAAAAGACGGAATGCAAGTGCTCATGGTTGATTATTTTCGCAAGCGTCATGACACAGACATTGATTTTGTTGCTGTTGCCATGGGTCGTTGGAAGGGGGGCTGAGCACGACGCGGAAAGGCACGACCCACGTGCCGTCTCCTACAAAAGCAAAATAAAAAGCTCTTCGATTAGTATAAGTATAAGAGTATCCAAAACAAGCTGATTTGGCGGGCAATTCAAATGGGCAATTCATATCATATTCATATATTCATATACATCATATATTAAAATAAAGAATTAAAGTAAATTAAAATAAAATATAAGCCAATCAAGTGTTATTTGCTATTTAAATGCATTTATTTATAATTGATTTCTTTTAAGGCAATCAACAGGTGGTAAAAAAAGCTTAATTTCTTAGAGTGACCAGACTCTAACGGTATAAGCGGGAATTAACGAAATTATGAAGCCCCAAAGTCTGCCGATCTCAGCTCCCTCACACGTGCGCCACAGACTAGTTCTTCCATTCGGGTTAGTTGTGCCAATTGGCGGCTCCTCCTGTTTTTTTTCCATTCTGTAAAAAAATATGTTTACGCTGGCCTTATCAGTTATCAGTTTGGGGGGCTGGCAGAAACAAAAACAAGTTGTGACGGCAGAGGCTGCGCCTTCAGTGCATCCGATCTGATTGGCAGTAACCTGATCCGCGGTTGTGGTTGTGCTGGAGGTGCTACTTGATAACGTGGGCTTTGGCCTTTCGGTTGTCAACGGCTTTACACCGGCCCCAGATCAGTCGCGATTCAACCACCAAAGACCCCACACGTATTTCTCTCAAGTATTTGGTTTTTTACAGAACGACGACGACATGGTAATCCTACGGTACTACGACGTGCAGGCCCACGATGCGGCCGAGGAGCAGTCCGTGCTGCGTCGCCTCCAGGCTGAAGACAGCAGTGTGGTCTCGGTTCGTCTGGAGCGGTGCTATCACCTGGAGTATAACGGCCAGGCAGAGCACTCTGTGGCGCTGGACGATCTTCTTGTCTGGCTTGTGAAACATCCCATGAGCAGTGGCCAGAGTCTGACCAAGGAAACCGTCCTCCGCTCGGAGGGTCCTCGTCAACTCCTTCTGGAGGTTGGACCACGTTTCAACTTTTCCACGCCCTACTCCACCAACTGTGTCAACATCTTCCACAACCTGGGTTACTCCGAGGTTCGGCGCATGGAAACCTCCAACCGCTACCTTCTGACCTTCGCTGGGGACTCGGTAGCCCGGGATCCCTCGAAATTTTTCCCTCTCCTGGGTGATCGCATGACGCAGTGCCTCTACACGTCGGAGAACTTGCCAAAGGCTAGTTTCGATGAGCAGCTGCCCTCGCGTCAGGCGGACTGGCACTTTGTTCCTATCCTGGAGGAAGGACCGGCTGCCTTGGAGCGTGTCAACAAGGAACTGGGTCTTGCATTCACTGACTTTGACCTCGAGTACTATTACGAACTCTTCGCCAAGACCCTGGGACGCAACCCCACCACCGTTGAGCTGTTCGACTGCGCTCAGAGCAACAGCGAGCACTCCCGGCATTGGTTCTTCCGTGGCCGCATGGTTATCGACGGGGAGGAGCAGCCCAAATCCCTCATCCGAATGATCATGGACACGCAAGCCCACACGAATCCGAACAACACCATAAAGTTCAGCGACAACAGTAGCGCCATGCGGGGATTCAAGTACGATGCCATAGTGCCGTCCTCCGTGGTGGCTCCTGGTCCAGTAAGTCTGGGTAGATTGGAGTCTGACCTCATCTTCACGGCTGAGACTCATAATATGCCCACTGCAGTGGCGCCATTTAGCGGTGCCACCACCGGTACCGGTGGACGATTGCGTGACGTCCAGGGCGTTGGAAGAGGAGGCGTTCCTATCGCTGGCACAGCAGGTTACTGCGTTGGCGCTCTTCACATTCCAGGTAGGTGGAACCACTAAAATGTTGCAAACTAATCTATTGATGTCCTAATCTTAGGTTACAATCAGCCTTATGAACCTTCGGACTGCCAGTACCCTTCGACCTTTGCTCCTCCACTGCAGGTGCTGATCGAGGCCAGCAACGGCGCCTCGGACTACGGCAACAAGTTCGGCGAGCCGGTGATCTCCGGCTTTGCCCTGTCCTACGGCCTTAGAAACGTGGCAGATCCCAGCCAGCGTAACGAATTCGTAAAGCCAATCATGTTCAGCGGCGGTCTGGGTACCATGCCGGCAACCATGCGGGAGAAACTGCCGCCGGTTCGCGGCTACCTCCTTGCCAAGATTGGAGGTCCAGTGTATAGGATTGGTGTAGGCGGCGGTGCTGCCAGTTCCGTGGAAGTCCAAGGCTCTGGAGACGCCGAGCTGGACTTCAATGCAGTACAGCGAGGCGATGCTGAGATGGAAAACAAGCTCAATCGGATGGTACGGGCCTGCCTCGAACTGGGCGATAAGAATCCCATTTTGGCCATTCACGATCAGGGCGCCGGCGGCAATGGAAACGTGCTCAAGGAGCTAGTGGAGCCTGGCTTCGCCGGAGCTTTGATTTTCTCGAAAGAGTTTCAACTGGGTGATCCCACTATCACTGCCCTGGAGCTGTGGGGTGCTGAGTACCAGGAGAACAACGCTATTCTCTGCAAGGCTGAAGATCGAGATGTTCTGGAAAGGATCTGTGAACGCGAACGATGCCCCATCAGCTTTGTGGGAGTGGTAACTGGCGACGGAAAAGTTACCCTTCTGGAGGAGGCTGCACCCAAGGATCTGGAGAAGGCTCTGTCCGTCAGTACCAGCGGGAAAACTGCTCCATTCAGCCTGGATCTGAAGTACGTCTTGGGCGATATGCCAAAAAGAACTTATGAGCTGACCAGAGAGGTGACGCCTCTGAAGGATTTGGAGTTTCCAAAAGACATCCGCTTGGATAATGCCCTGGAGCGCGTTCTAAGCTTGGTGGCTGTGGGCAGTAAACGCTTCCTTACCAACAAGGTGGATCGCTGCGTCGGAGGACTCATCGCGCAGCAACAGTGCGTCGGTCCGCTGCAGGCTCCCTTGGCAGACTACGCCCTGACCACCGTCTCGCATTTTACCAACGCCGGCATCGCCACTTCTATTGGCACTCAGCCGCTGAAGGGTCTTCTTGATCCCGCTGCCATGGCTAGGATGTGCGTGGCGGAGGCGATCAGCAACCTCGTCTTTGTCAAGATCACCGAATTGGCAGACGTCAAGTGCTCCGGCAACTGGATGTGGGCCGCCAAGTTACCGGGGGAGGGAGCTAAGATGTACGATGCGTGCAAGGAGCTCTGCAGCGTCCTGGAGGAGCTGCACATAGCCATCGACGGAGGAAAAGACTCTCTATCCATGGCTGCAAAGGTGGGCAAAGAGACCATCAAGTCCCCGGGTACTCTGGTCATCTCCACATACGCTCCGTGTCCGGACGTGCGACTAAAGGTTACTCCTGACCTAAAAGGACCTGCCTCAGGCTCCAAAACCGTCCTGCTTTGGATTCATTTGGAGGATAAGCTTCGCCTTGGCGGCTCTGCGCTGGCCCAGGCCTACGCTCAGCAGGGCAAGGAGTCACCAAACCTGCTGAGAACCGACCGGCTGGCTAAGGCCTTCGCCGTAACCCAAACCCTGCTGGGAGAAGAGGTGCTCCGGGCCGGCCACGATGTCAGCGACGGAGGTCTTCTCGTTTGCCTCGTGGAGATGGCTATCGGCGGATTAAGTGGTCTCGAAGTGGACTTGGCGGTGCCTCTGGCCAAGCTGAAGCATTACGATGCGTCCGTGGAAAAGATTGGACGCCCTGAGCTGGCGCTCCTCTTTGCCGAGGAATGCGGATGGGTGGTGGAGCTCCTGGAGTCGGATTTGCCACGAGTCAGGTCGATGTACAGCGATGCTGGAGTGCCCACCTACCAGTTGGGTGCGACAACTGGATTTGGACTTGGCTCCCGCTTCGTTGTCAAGTCGGGCAAGTCCACCCTTTTGGACCTTCCCGTTCGTCAGCTGTACAAGCAGTGGGAGCGAACCAGCTATGAGTTGGAGAAATTGCAGGCCAACGAGGAGTGCGCCCAGGCGGAGTATGACAGTCTAGAATTCCGCCAGGCTCCCCAGTACAAGGGACCTGCTAACCTTCAAGCGGAGCTTACCCTCAAGCGGTCCTCGGTGCCCGTTCGCGTGGCCGTACTGCGGGAGGAGGGCGTCAACAGTGAGCGCGAGATGATGGCCTGCCTCCTCAGGGCTAACTTCGAGGTCCACGACGTGACCATGTCCGATCTTTTGAAGGGTAAGTGCATATTTATTATCCTGTAGGATTAATAGGACTTATATTCTTTTTTGAAAGGCTCCACCACACTATCCCAATACCAAGGACTGATCTTTCCCGGAGGCTTCAGCTATGCAGACACCTTGGGATCGGCAAAGGGCTGGGCAGCCAACATCCTCCACAGCCAGAGCCTGAAGAGCCAGTTTGAGGCCTTTAAGAAACGCCAGGACGTTTTCTCCCTCGGCATTTGCAACGGATGCCAACTAATGACCCTGATTGGTTTCGTTGGAAACCCCAAAACCCAAATGGGAACGGATCCTGACTTGGCTTTGCTCCACAATCGCTCCCAGAGATTCGAATGCCGCTGGTCCACTGTTAGAATTCCACCTAACCGCTCGATTATGCTGGGAAACATGGATGACCAGGTCCTGGGCTGTTGGGTGGCCCATGGCGAAGGACGCTTTGCCTTCCGGGACGAGAGCCTCATTGAAACTCTCCAGTCGGAGCGATTGGTCACCTTGCAATATGTAAACGACCAGGGCGAACCTACGGAACTCTACCCCATGAATCCGAATGGTAGTCCTCAGGGTATAGCCGGGCTGTGCTCGCCGGATGGCCGCCACTTGGCTCTCATGCCGCATCCAGAGCGGTGCAGCTCCATGTACCAATGGCCCTATGTGCCTCCCGGCTTTGAGGTTCCCGCCTCGAACACCGAAAGCCCTTGGCAGGTGATGTTCAACAATGCCTACAACTGGTGTGTCACTGAGGATAAGTGAGATTTCAACATTTTAAATGCATTTTTATAATTAATATAAAATACTATTTACAAAACGAATTTAAACACTAATTCTGTACAAATATAATCACTATTAAACACTTAAATCTAAAAACTTACTTTAAAAGAGGATTAAGTGTTAAAGACTAGTTGGAAATCTGTAACAAGCACTTTAGATAGTTGGCCTTGGCACCTGGTGCCGCCATGTATTTGGAGTTCCAGTCGTGTTCGTTGATCTGCAGCACCTTGTAGCCCATCATTTCCAGATGCTTCATCTTTAAGGACTCGGGTCCTCGCAAGGCTGTGAGGTCATTCTCACAAAAGGAGTCTAACCTAAGGAGCAGGATGGCCACCCTGGAAATAGGACTAAGATATAGAGAGGATTTGGGGTCCTTCGCTGATCCTTACTTGGTTATCCGATCCAACATGGTAGCCTCCACAGGAGGCGCTGGTATTGGTTTCCTGTCCCGATCGAAATGTATCACAAAGTCTATCTGGTAGCCATAGGGAGTCGTGTGATTGCAACGGAAATGGTTTTTATCCTTGAGTAAGTTCTGAAGCAGGTCCTTGACATCCTTACTAAACGTACTAGACTGTAAGGGCTCTGGAAAAGGTATAGTAGATATAGCTCCATATAGATATATATATTCTATAACTACTTTTGCTCATTTGGGCTTCTATATAGTTCTGTTGAAACCATGGAACATTCGCCTCGGGCAGATCCAAGCAGACCGTGCGGTTCAGCTGCATAACCAGATTAAGCACCCGTTCCGGATAGGTGGCCTTGGAGTAGCAGACTTGTATCTCATCCTCAATGCGCTGTATGAATTTCACGCAGAATATCCTGTTGATCAACTGCTCCGGTATGGATTTGTAGAAGCAAAGTGCTAGACAAGCTTGGACTATGGCCAGTCCACTCATTTGATCAAAGTCCCTGGTAAAAATACAGATCTTAAGACATGTCAAGGATATTGTAGTCTCCTCACCTTAGCAACACTTCAGATGCATGATTCAATACCTCCAGGGAGGTTGGAGTATATCCCAAGTTATAGGAACAAGTAAGAACCTTTTCCACGGTATCGCCCGTAACGTGCTTATGCTGCTCCGAGATGTAGCCAAACATGGACTCCAGCAGCTCAGGAACCAGAAACTGGGATGCATTAAAATTGTAAGCCATATCTCGAACTACCCTCGAACTGAGATCCTTGCAATGCAGAGATTTGTACAAGGACAGGGATTTGTTGTAGACCACTGTGTTCTTCAGGGCTGTGGAGATCGAGATTAGTAAATATTTTAATGATACTCTTCCAAGGTCTATGCTTACATTTCCGATGACTGAGGGTTCGCACAATCATGCTAAGGTCACTAGCACTCAGCGGCCACTCCTCGGCAGTTGCCAGGTGCCTCTCAGCACAGCTGATGAGTACGTTGTCCATGGTGGCCAGTTGCATGCCCGCCAGCGATGGAAGGTGTTGACGAAACCGAAGTTCGCAGGCTATCTGCATTCCCCTGCTGAGCAGAAAGCATTCATTGATGTCCAGTTGCGGAGCCATGGCCAGTAGCTTGCTCAGCAAAACATTGGGAAACTTCTTCCAGGAGAACGGGGTGTGCCCATAGGCCAGGACAAAGGCGGCCAGGCGTGCGAACTTGGTGGGTAGCCGACCCGATATGTCCTCCTCCATGGCGGTCATGCACATCTGACTCAGCTTCTTCTCTACCTCGAAATGCCTATACGTTCCTCCCAGGTTGTTGTTGAAGTTCATGTACCGTTGACAGTGCCTCAGGAAACGCAGATGCGTCTGCTCCTCCTCGCACGAATCCAACTCCCGCACAACACCCGACCAGTATGTGTTGCAGAACTTAAGGTCGGCGATCTTCAGAGCTCGCAGAACGCTAAAAAAGTGTCCACTAGCATTGGGAAGGAGCCAGACATCCTCAGAGTCCAGGAGCTCTCGAAAGCGCTGCGTATACTTGTCCCTCTCCAGCGGGGTAGCAAACGGTACAACGCAGGATAGAGCGTCTGCAGAGGCCTCCTCGTTCAGGAGTTTTTCTGAAGATTCCTTTAGAGGCCCCACCAGCTCCGCCGGCTCTTGGTGGTGCAAAAAAGCCCGGCACAAGCTTTTCAAGTCACCGGGCTCCAAATGGGGAATGCAAGGCTGCAGGACCAGCATTATCTTTCTGATGAGCTGCGTGTGCTCCTGTGACCACACTGGAATATTAAGCATGTGGAGCACCTTTAGCAAAGCCTTTGGAGTTTCATGGCTGAGGACATTTCTGTCTATCAATTCAACCACTCTTCTCTTGAAGCTGTTGAGCAGTTCCTCATCGACGATCATGTGCAGCTGGAATAGACAAGTGGACAACAATCGGACCTGGTCTTCACTGCCGCACTGGGCTATGTGCTTCTCCAGATAGTGGACAAAATTTCTACAAACGAGGGGAGTGAAGAAATCACGTTCCAGGTTGATACCCACTGCCAGTCGGGAGAGCGCGGTCAGAGGGATGGGGTCCTTATCCACCTGGTCGTTTACCAAGAGAAGCGCTCGCATTAAAACTGCCTCGACAGCCACCTCGGAGTTGGGTATGTGCATTTTTCGGAGGTACAGGTAGGTTCTACTAAGTTCATCCACGTCCAGTTGGTTTATGTGGGGTTCCAGCAGGGGCAATACTCTTTGTAGTAGACTCTCTGTAAGAGCATTTCTTTCTGGCTGATCAAAGCTTTGATAGTGCTGCCACAAAATGGAGATCCCTCCAACAATGTGGGTGTGCTGCAGGTCATTGTTTGTCATCAGCTTCAAAACACTGTCACTTGTTTGAGCCTGAGCTAGTCGCTTGTGCAGTGGGTCCAGATTCGAAGTATACACTGAGACTGGAGTATCCAAGGGTTCTTCGTTGTCGAAGCTGTAGTGTCTTCGCTGCAGTCCGCCTTCTGGTAGAAATGCCGGCAGAGAGACGCCTTGAAGAGGTAGTCTCGCCGTGAGATTTGTGTGCTTCCCTGCCAGTCTCATATGGCGCATTTGCAGAAGATGTCGAAAGTATTTCCATTGTGCGCGGGAAAGATAATTCAGATACATGAAGATAGGCCTTTGTTTAATTCAGAAAATGTTAAATAATAACAAAAAACGTTTCAATAAACATGTGAGAGAACAGGCGATCAGCTGGTCGCCACAGCTGGGCTGCCAACTCGGCTTAAACTATTAATTCATTTTTGAAATTGTTAATGAATTAGTTATATTTGTAAAATGAATTTGTAAACAAAATTCATGTAAAGCATGAAATTCTAATTTAAAAATTATTATTTTTATATATTTGTAGTTTTAATGGGTATATGATTTTATATGGGAACTAGTTCATTTTAGAAGTTCCTATCAATCAGCTGTTTGAATTGTTTTGGTTTTGGACTCATTGTTTTTGTTTACGTCCGCGCACAGGTAGCACCTGTTTTGAGCTGTTTGACGGTTTAAATAGAATTTAAAAACTTTAAATGATTATTTTAATTAATCAAATTTCATTTTATCCAGATACACTCCCTTGCCATGTCAACCGGCGATCTTACGTCTCATAACCAGGTGATCGTGCTCCAAGACGGCTACTCCTATCAGGATGCTGACAACGAGTCGCATATGAGGGCCAACTGCACCTCCACCCTGATACGTTGTAGGGATGGCACTAATGTCATTGTAGACACAATGACAGCATGGGACGGCGAGCATCTTCAAACTCTTCTGCATGGACAGGGACTGGATGCTAAAGACATTCACGTGGTGGTCTGCACCCATGGACACTCTGACCATATAGGATGCAATTATCTGTTTCAGACGGCGCGGATGCATTTAGTGGGCGCTTGCGCCTCAAATCGTGACCTCTACATGGATCACTTTGGCGGCGGCGATGAAACAGAGGAGCTTGCGCTGGACTCAAATAAGGAGGTACTGGTGAGGAGGACACCAGGGCACACGCTCAGTTGCGTTTCTGTGATTGTAAATAACTCTCAACTGGGTGGGACTGTCGGCATAACCGGAGATCTCTTCGAGCGTAAGGAGGACATAGATGACGACAGTATTTGGAGGGATGCCGGCAGCGAGGATCCTAAAAGCCAAGAGGAGGAGCGCTGGAAAATGGCTGAAATTTGTGACTTTATTGTGCCAGGACATGGTCCCATATTTCCAGTTAATGCGATAGTCCGTTCAAAGCTAAAAATACCTGAAAATAAATAAATTAAACTATTTAAAAAAAGCTTCTCCTTCTGGGTGTTATCCTTCACCTGATGAGATCATAAGTTTCTAAATAGCCTATACAGCCGTTCCATACATATTTTATATATAATACATCTGACACACAATGAGTGTTGCCAAATCCATACGAAGTAGCCGGCGGACCCGAACATCCCAGGGTCCTCCGGAAGTTGGCCATTTCATCTACTGTGTCAACTTCTACGACAATGGACTGAAGGCGGTCCAGGAGGAGTTTGTGAAGAGGGTGATCAGCGGGACGCGCCGGGCCGTCTTTGTGATCGACTTGAAAAAGGAGATAATAGCCTCCACCCTGCACAATGCCCGCTATTCCAAGAGCAGAAAGACGGTGGGTAAGTACCACTATCCAAGACACTTGGTATTTGGTTAAAAACTAAATCCTTTCAGGATCGATGAGTATAAAGCCGGTAGATCCTATGGTCATTACCTTGCAAGGCATTCAGAACTGCTTGGAAGAGTACGAAAAGGTAACCAAATCCCTCGAGGCGGAGGCAAACTTCGATCTCTACAACTACTGGCAGAAGAACATCCCAGCCCAGCTCAAGAACCTGACCCCGCGGGCCGGAGGTAAGACCAAAAGGGGCTCCAACACCTCCAAACCAAAAACGGCCAAAGGATCCGACAAAATGCGTCTCGAGAAGATCCGTTGCACTTCTGTCAACGCCAAGGAACACCACAAGGTGGGAAAGGAGGGCAAGGTGTCGCAACAGGAGGTAAGTTTTGGTAAAAAAAAAGTTCACTAAGATTTCTGACATTCCTTTCCAAACTGCAGTTCATCAAGGATAATCCCATGTACACCAAAATCCTGATCCTGATCATTGGCCAAATGGACAATAACTTCTACAGGACCCTGCTGGCCTATGAGCAACCCCTCCGGGCCGTCATCCATTTCCTTCCAGAAGAGAGTGCCTACGATATGCTGGTGCCACGCCCTCGTCGCGAACGGGAGCTACAGGAGGCGGTGGCTGCTATCCAGCACAGCATCAACTCGCTCCGGAAACGGACGCCCATGAAGCCGGTGGGAATCTTCCAGCAGAAATTGCCCCAGATGTCCGCCTGCATGGCCACCAAGTTTTCCGAAGACATTTTCGACCAGCTGAGCTGGTACATGTACGACGTGGAGACGCTGAGGGAATGGTACCGACGCTTTTACGTGGAGTCCTACCAGGAGACAAATGTTAAGATGGATCCGTCCCTCCAGCTGCAGGACGCCTTTCACATTCTGGAATCGCTGAGCATTCAGGGTCACTACCTTAAGGCCCAGATGCCGGCTGCCCGAGATGATGATGGCACCGTCTACCTGTACATGGAGTCGCTAATGAGCACGTTCGGGAATCCCCGCGAGCTGATGAACGAAACAGAGGTCCTTCTGCTGGCCAATCCGACGCCAGCGGTTCAGACCCGGGTTCTGGACAAAGTCAAGGTGTACGCCAATGCCTTCAAGAGCATCGTGAAGCTACCCAAGAATGATCGCGTATTTCTGGAAGAGTCCAATGAGCTGCTGACCAGCCTGCTCTCCTACATGGACCAGGGCCTGATGCGGAACATCTACCACGGCTGCCTGGAGTACAATCTGATGCGACGTTACTTCACCTCCGGTTATATCACTAATGGTATCCAGGTACAGCCCTACAATGGCGACCCGGAACCGATCTATCTGCCCAAGTTCGCCCAGCTGTATCTTACGGATGACTCGGTGACCCAGAGAATCATTCAACTGGTGAACGACTACGATGACTTCACCGTGGAGGAGGTGCGTCCGAATGTCCAGCTCTACACCTTTCGTCGCGGCCTGAACGAGGTCTTCGAGCAGGAGAAGCAGACGGTCATCCCTACGCGACTCTGCTTCCGGGACTTTACCCTCTATGAGATGGAACAGTTCCTCCAGGACTTCGTCACTCCTCAAAAGTTTAGCGAAATGCAGGAGAGCTTCATAACAACCAACATGAGCACGTCCACGGTATTGAATCAGAAGGAGCCTGTGTTCATTAAATGCGGCGATGGCCCGGACAACCACGTTAGCATCGATCCCAATCTCTTTGTGCGTCCCAAGTCGATCAAGGGCCAACAGGTCAAAGCTAAGGATGTTGGTTCATCGCCAGATGCCGAGTCTCGGGCGGGCACCCGGGTACCGTCCATAACGCAAGTCGCTCCGGGTGCAAAATCTGTGCGGAATTCGGCCTTTTTTGCGGAGGATCTGACAACGATCCAGAACGCAAGCGAATCGGTGCTCCAAAAAGCTGGCCTGAGACCCAATCATCCCATGCTTAAGGGTTACAATTTGGACGATACCCGCCAAACGATCAAGGCCAAGACCTCAAAGTACTTCTTTGAGGAGGGCCGGGTCACCTTGTACGAGGAGAAGTGGAACTTCCGGCAAATGAACAAGTGTCTCTCGCTCGAGGTAGCCGATCAGCAGGTGCACTTCCGAAATCTGGCGCACAATGTCTTTACAACGGACTGCAGTGTCCGGATCGAATCGAAGAATGGGATCAGCCTGCGGGTCATGCCCAAGGAATTGGAGTGTGCCAAGGCGGTTCTCAACTACCCCAATGGCCTCAGCACCTACTGCCATGATACCCATGCAGAGCATCTCTGGCAATATCAGGTATGTGTTATCCTTGTACCCCTCCTGGTCTACCCCATTGATTCAAATCCTCCTTTGATTTACATCCTCCAGGAGAATGAACTGGAGGAGAGTCGACGTGTATGCACCCCCTACGGTTGTGTGATCTCTTTCTACCAAAACAACGATACCGTGGTAATAATGCGGTATAATGGCGAGGTGTACTACCTGTACAGCTTTACGGATGCAGAGAACGAGGAGGAGGAGGAGATGACCTCAGAGTTTATCAACGCCTGCTCCACCCAGTCAACATACAGTAGCTACAAGCCCATCCCCAACGATTCCAAGCCCAAGTGCAACAAGAAGAAGCGCAAGGGTAGCGAAAGGGTGGCGGCCGGAGCGGACTCCATTATGAGGCCATCCAATCAGAGTATGCTCTCCAAGCAGAGCGGATCAAATGCGGCGCTCCGGAAGAATCGTCTGACCAAGAACAAGCAGTACGCCGCCCTGTTCGCCAGTGTGGAGTTCGAGCTGAACTTCCTGAACTTCATCATGGCCCTGTACAAGCTGAGCTATCGCCATCTGAAGCTCATCACCACCCTGGGCAGCGTTGTGCATGTCCAGAGCGATGGAAAGATCTGGTGTGGCAAGCCCTTCCGGAACACGGAATGGCATGACTACTACGTCAACGAATCCTACTCGATGCGCGACGACGGCGTCAAGATGATCTGGACGGTGGGGGAGCTGCGATGCTACCACAGCGACGGCACCTGCATCAAGTCGGGCACAGCCGAGGGTTGGGATCCGGGTACGGAGAACGATGAAATCGACCTGGAAATCACCTCCAGCAGCTCTCACAGGCGCTCCAGTGGGGAAGAAGAACAAAGAAACACTACTATATACATCAATGCTCCCGATGGTCTACCTTTCGATCATTCCGTTGAACCCCAGACGGTTGAGACAGAGTCCATTACCGTGGAGACCGTCCAGGTGCATCCAAGGAAGTTGCCGTCCCTCGAAGATGAGCCAATGATTGAGGAGGAGGAGGGGGAAGTCGTCTTCGACATGAGTTACATTACATTTATGCCGAATACCTTCTCGATGTTCCACCAAATCTACGCCAGCATCCAGTTCAACTTCAACCACATCACCAAAGTGGACCTGAATATCGAGACCTCGGTCTGTACCTGCGACAACATGAAGCTGCGAATCTTTAAGAGCTCCCCGATCTCCGATTCCCCAATTTCCCCAACTGATAGCGAGTTTAAGAACTTGGCGGAGGTCCAACAGGATGTGCCGTCGTCCTCTGCCGATCCTGATGAATGGACCCGGACGCCATTCTATCCATCCGAGCCAGAAGCTCCGTCCAGCGAATCGCCCGGCGGAACGGAGGAGCAGGTGCCAGAAGTGGTGGACCTTCTTGATCGCACCTGCGTGGAGATTGAATGCTCCAATCTCCTGGTTCATGTTTATGAGGATAAGGCCACCATTCAAACCCAGTTGCGGAAGTTTGGATGCGATGAGAACGCAAAGTGTGACCTGCAGGTGCGGTAAGTATATCATCCAATGAACTTGGTCCTGGTTTCCTTTTTAATCTCGATCCCTCGTTTTAGTGACAACATAATATTGGACGTCAATTACACTGAAAGCCTCTCCACTACCTTCGGGAAATGGATCGAGGAGCTAACCAGCTTCATCAACTGTTTCTGCCCCAAATGGCGGACACTGTATTTCCTGGAGAGTTTAGATGCCCAATGCCAGAAAAAAGGTACTTCTGTTTAAAAACCTTTTTAAATAAATAATAAAAACATAATTTTTTTTAAGGTTTTGAGATGATGAAGGCTATCCCGCCATTGGGAAAGTATAACTTTTGTGCTGGGAACTACTTTATTGATGCCCATGAACTGATTTCCGTGGATAATAAGATGAAAAACAACTACCCATGGATCAACGAAGATCTGGTAAAGTTTCCCCGTTTTCCACTCTACAAGAAGACACCACCACCTGAGGAGTTTCCCTTGGTGCTGAAGGCAAAGTAAGTATAGAAAGGTAACTAATAGAGCTAATAAAGATGTGTACTTTTTAGGATATTTGTGGAGATACCAGCCCAACTGGCCAATACCGACAGGATACATCAGTTTGTGAATGAGTTTGACAAGATCAAGTTCAGGAAGCAGCGATATCGCTTCAATGAGTGAGTTAAATGGGTTTTTAAAATCATTTACTAACCCATTGGTATGACTTTCCTTTCAGGGCCGTGCTCTTCCATCTGCATCCTCGACTGCGTCTGTTGGTGCAGCAGGAGATCAGCAAGCGAAGCTGGAAGAACCACCACGAGGAGATGCGGCGCCGAAAGTTCATGGAGCAACAGCGCCTCAGCCTCTACATGGCCATGCTGAAGCACAAGGTGTATCCGAACTACTTCCAGTTCAAGGACCAGTTCTACTCCCATGTCCGCAACATCGACTTCTTCAACTTCATGACTTCAAAGTGCAACGAACGGATCCATCCCGAGGAGGTGATGGTGGATCCCATCGAGGAAGTCTCCTCGCCAACGTCAAAGGTTTCGCCCAAAAACCGCAAGAAATGTTACTGCCCCAAGTATCTAAAGTCAATTGAATAGGCATTACACCATATACACTGTGGAAAAAACCTTGAGATTATTAAAAACACTTTCTTTAAAATTTAACTTTCATAGATTTTTAAATTATATGTTTTTGGCGCGCAAAATACCAACAAAAATACCATTTTCTGAGGCAGAGCTTTTCAAGTTTAATTTTTGGTATTTTGTCGGTTTGGCGTTTTGGGGCTGCCGCCGTATGGGCCGACCAGCTGCTGGCTCCAATTGTTGTTGTTCCATCGGTTGCTACGGTCGGCGCGTTAATATCGCTCCCGGAATAATTCGGACATAGGCATAATATGAATTAAAGCATTATCGGATTAGGGAGCACGCGATCGAAAAGCGAAATGGCAGCCGCAACGGATATAGCAGTGGAGACCAAACTGGGTAATGGAAGTGCGGGCGGTGCTCCGATTATGAACGGAAATGGAGTGGCTGGCGGCATTGCGGAATCTGTCAGCGCCGTGTTTGAGGAGAAAATGAAACTAGAACTGGAACAGGACCAGGACCAGGACCAGGATGATTTGGAGCAGCAGGAGGAGAGCACGGGAGAGGTGACGGCAGTGCCACGGTACGGTCTCAAGCTGGGATTCGATCACGTGTGGCCGGAAAAGAGGATCCAAAATGTGAGGGCCTCCATTAGGCAGACGCTGCCCATGGTGCCGCTGGTGTGCAGGTGAGATGCAGTCATCAAGTAGTTACAGTACGACCTCAATAAAGCAGACAGATGAATAATAAATAATAAAGTACTCACAAAGGACATAATTTGTATAAATATATGTACATAGATGGAATATCTCTTATAGAAAATTAATATTTTCTTTAAATTTAAGTAAAAAATAAATTCTGATGCTGCTTGGGTTGGTTTACAAACGCAATTAAGACTCAATAATGTGAAATCAATAAAGCGGCCTAATAATACCTCAACAGGAGTGACATTGAGCCTGGCTGTCCCCCCTGCCCATTCTTTCTCCCGTATAGTATCTCGTGCGTGCCAAATATAGCGTTAGGTCCTGGCCAGGACAACAGGGCATACACACAGCCGTACAGTCGCAGGGCCAGGCTCATAAATTGAATTCTTTTGTGGTCTTTGGTGCCAACTAACTGTCATTAAAAGTGACAGCGGAAAGGACTCAAAGGACATCAACACGCGAGGATTTAATCTGTGGGCTAAAAAGCGGTTATTGGAAAAGCAATATATTTAATCTTTTAAAAAAGAATAAAATTTTATTGTAAAATAATATAATTAAATACTAATTCCCAGGCTCTTAATTCTTAGACCTCTTAATATGTAGTGCCAATTACGCATTTAAAAAGTAGCTGACAACCTTGTACTGGACCCCCAGTACATAATCCCCCCAGTACTCCGTCGTAACCACAGCTTAATGCTGCTCCCCTTTCTGTGTCTCTGCTTAACAAACAAATAAAAAAAAATAAAGGAACCCGCATAGTTTGGCGCCACAATGTTTCCATTGTTAGTTTATGCCCCCGGTGCCCGGAAACCCTAGGCCCGCCCGCATTGGCGCCAAGTGGGGCGTACTGCTTGCGTGTCCTGGCCACATTTTCGGAGCCACGAATGAAAGGAGCCAACACACATAAAAGTTAACTTTTTGTGGAGGGAACTGGGGCTCCTTTGACTGGCTTTTTCAGCTAAGCCCGGATTTTTTACTGACCCAACAAACCTACCAAAGAATCAAATAAAGGAAGTGCAACGAACTTTGGTGCCATAAATGCACTGAATATTTCACAAATTAGGGATTATTTATCAATCTTATCGAGGGGACAGCCTAATATTTATTAAAAGAAATTATGACTAAGTTTCTGAGAAATGTGGCAAGCTTGAGGTCCCCTTTCATAGAATTTGTATAATCTAAAATTTTAACAAAAAGTTCAGTTATCAGCTATCATGATGGCCTGTTTAATATTTGACTGATAAGGGTTACTCACAGCATTAAAATAATTATACTTTTATTTTTTGTAAGCTATTCAGTTAGATTAATAGACTAGAATAGGTTTTAAAACCTGAGAGTTAAAACCTCTCAGACTCATTGAAAAGTTCCATCCAAGACTTGATAGTTTTTGGAAACTCGCCTTTAATTTCCGTGACGTTGCTCAATATTTATATTAGCCCTCATTCAGATAAGGGGTACCCCAACTAAAGTAAAAATATGATAAAATTTTTATCATTTACTACCTCGTGGCTGCAAAAACCTCGTTAAGATCCTCCTGCTTTATCATGCTAGGTTGTCGTATTTCTGTTTTTTTGGAATGGAATCAAAAGTTGATTACCACCGAGTAGGGGCTTCGATTTATGAAGTCACTTGGCTGAAACTGGCTTATCTGGTAATACCAAAACTGACCTATCTCACACTCACTTTTAATAATTTGGAGGATTTGTATTCATGTCACTGTAGCTCTCGAAACATTAGCTTATATGGCTTGATTTAATAATTATTATACAATCCAATGGCACATAAAACTCGAGCGATTAGAGAGGCCTCATCAAGGTTGACTAGGCCTGGGAGGCTTGATAAGATGACACAAAGCGTCATGATGATTAACTAAATAACTTCTAGTAGTTAGTATTACTTAAATATATACCCCTTTTGATGTCCTCCTCCATTGAAACCCCCAAGAAAGGCGAGTTCAATGTATCTTTGATGACACACTTCCTGCAATTTCCTTTTCCTGATTGCCAACTACTTTTCACACAATTCCAGACCAACCAAGCAGCGTCTTCGTTCGAATCAAATTGGGTAGCCAGGAAAGCTGGGTAACCGGCGCCAGTCGGGGAAAAGCATGTATAATGTATATGGATCACCCAACTCCTGCCCCGAATCCATCCAGCATGTCTGTCACACATCAAATGCTTTTGGCAGGCTCCCAAGGCGTTGTGTACAATTTGCAGATACTTGCCCACCCACCGAGTACCCGCCAAGTGAGGTATACATACATCCAGATACTTGTCTTGGAGCATCCTCAGGACTACTCCAAAGCATCCTCGATTTGCCAGTGCCAGTGCATGTGAAAACAAATCTGTGAATGGCCCGGGATTCCTGCGAGTCATGTGCATTCGTAAATGGATAATAACACATTTCATTTTCCTCATTTTATGCCGCTTTCAAATCATATTCCCGTCCAGACGGAGAAGCACTTTTCCTTATTGTTTTTCCATGTCCAAAATGAAAATTTTGTGGCAAGATGAAGAGAGATTCTTGTATGTGTGTGTCGCCATAAAAGCGAATCCCCTCTGGGAAAAATATTTTGTTTTGAAGACTTTTCCTTCTCGCTGTTGCCTTTCAATTTGTCGTTTTTTGTTTATTTTTGAATTCCCATCGGAGTTGGGTCCTATAGATGGGATGGAGATGCCCCAGAAGATTTGATATTTATAGAAATATTCCAATGAAGTTTGGAGGGAGTTTGGTCTCTAGTACAGACTCGGTACTCCTTTAAGTATTAATCTTTTAATATTTTTTTGATGATGATTACATTCCCTAAGCCTGGGCCCTTTCTCAATTAAAGTTATCTAATTCCCACGACGGCAACCAACCAAAAGTTATATATTAATTGGAGACAGCAATTTATCGCAGGTACACAGACCATCACGTCAGCCAGCCAACTTGCTACTTTGTTACTTGCCACAAGCAATTTGTGACCCGTCGTCCACCCTTCTGCCCTGCCCCATCACTTGACCCACGCTGACCCGGCAAACTTTTCTCCAACAATTTCACAAATTGTGTGGAACATGAAAGTCCAGGTCCGGGTGTTGCCCAGGTCGAACCAAACAGGAATGGGGAGATGTACATAAAACAAGGTCGATTCGGGTCGTAGTTGGGTGACTCGGTTGCAATTCAATTAAAAAACTATTTTCATTCCATAACTTGTCCTCGGGGGGGGGAAATAGTTTCCAGATTTTTGATGCAGAAAGGTGGGAAATCGATCCAGAATCGGATCAGGATTGGGGAAGATATAGCCATAGGGGGAAAACCCCATTTTCAAGAGATACCATCACCAAAAAAATGGGCTTATGTTAGCTTTCCTATATTGTTTTGAAATAAAATCTTGAGCCTCATATCAAGTAAGCTTCTAGAAATATGTCGAGCTAGCCAGATCCGGATAACTTCAAATCCATTCCCAGTTGAAGTTCAAGTACTCTATCGAGAGAACGTTGTGTACTTTTGTTGATTTGAAGATAACCCAACTGGGTATTTTGTGCTCGCCGCTGAGATCCTGCTCCCTCCCGCACCAGCTACTACTCCCTGTTACTGGTCCTGGGCTTGGTCCTGTAAGTGGTCCTGGTAAATGGTGCTGGTTGATGATACCGTTACTGGTCCTGCGATGAATCGCCACGAAGGCATCGCCTGCAGCGGTTGCGGCAAGGTGGCATTCACCGGACGGATGTATCGCTGCCTGAGTTGTCGCGACTTTGACATCTGTGCGGACTGTTACGACAGCGACTTTACGACGGCCACCCATCCGTTCGACCATCCGGTGAAGTGCGTCTATACGCCGGCCGATGTGGAGCTGTACTTCGGCGGCGAGTACATCAGCAGCGATCCGCCGCAGAGCTACCGCTGTCCCTACTGCAAGCGGTGGGGCTTCAACGAGTCCACCTTCCTGGAGCACGTCTCGGCCCAGCACGTCGACGCCAGCCCGCTGCTGGTCTCCACCATGGTCACTCTCTTTGAGCAGCAGCAGGCGGCACGTCTGTTTTTGGAGGACGAGCAGCTGGCCTCCTTCTCGGCGGCGGCCGGTTCGCGTAACCGGCAAATGGTTCGCACTCACGGTTCCCTCGATCTCTATCTGGAGCCTCTGAATCCGGACGGAAGCTACAAAAGGGCAAGTCAGCCGGAGGAGGCGGCTGCCAAGAGCGACGAGGTGACCCGGGAGCGGTCCCACCGTCTGCGACGCGCTGCAACAACCGGATCGACTTCCACAGGGCCGAACGCCTTCTCGGCAGCTGCCAGAGCTCGAGCTAGAACGGCGTCTGCTGGATTTAGTGCCGTATTGGCAGCCACCTCCTCAACCGGCACCAACAGGAATAGAGGTATCGCCAGCCGGAATTCGGTAACGACGTCTTCCAATCGTCGCCAAGATCGGGTGCGCTTGAATACGTCACAGGTGGAGAGCTTTCGATTCAATTCTGGGGAGTCTGGACGGGATTTCGTACCGCCTCCGCCAGATATTTCCTTTGGTGGGTCCATGCCTGCCTCGCTAGCCCCAAACGCCGGAGCTCAACCTCGACCTCAGCCGCCACCACGACAGCCACAGCCACAGCCGCAACCGCAACCGCAACAGCCTCAACGGCAGCCACAACCCAACGCTGCAGGAGCGAATCCCACCGTAAGGGACATGATGCGGTACTATGGTAGTGTAATAGCTGGTGGCCAGGAGGCCTACCGTACCCCCCCTTCTGTCAGGAGCCAACGAGCCCGTACGCGTGCCTGGGTGGAAAGCAACAACCTCCGTGGAGCCGCCTTGGGCAGCGGACGCAACGTCGTCGGACCTACATCTCCCCTGGCCAACGGACCCCATGCGCCCAGATCCTATCTCCTGCCGTCGGACCCGGGGTTCAGTGAGCAACGCCTTCGGGCCCATCGGATGACGAACTACCACCAGAACTATCTGGCGGCAGCCGGCAGAGGAGGTGCGTTATCGATGAGCCATCAGCGATTGGGTCACTCGCAGGTTCTGTCCTCCCGCACGGTGGACTTCAACGAGATACCCATGGAGGATGGGGACAATATGACCATTAATGCGGCGGCCGCCGAGAATCTGATGCGCAGCTTCGAGGAGGAGCCCGCCTTGGCGGCTAAAAAGCGGGACCAGGAGCGTCAGCGCTACTTGTGCTACCGCTTCCTGGCGCCCAAACCGTCTCGCCCGCCGGCGGAGGAGACCACCTTCCTGGCCCACCGATCCGAGTTTGTGGCCCAGCTGCTGGCCTCGGCGCTCTGCGAGGAGAACCTGCAGGTGAATGTGGCGGTGGACCTGCCTCTCGCTATCCTTCCCAAGCAAAAGAGCCGGCCCAGCTGCGACATTGTGGGAGCCGGCGACGCCGAGAAGATCTCTCCGCGGTGATTCGAACCGAATCGATTTGGGTACTACCTGCCCCCCGGCAGCTCATGTTTCTTGTACCTTTTGTATCGGTTAAATTTTCTGTTTATATCGAGATATCCTTTTGGTATTATGTCCTCGTGCTGGAGGCCAGTAAATTAGTCGCACTTTTGGATTAAGGAACCTATCTTTATAGTGGGAGCTGTATGGGAAAAATGGGAAATGAGGGGTTTTAGTCTTCAATTAAACACTCTAATTGAGTTTTGGAGTTTGGAAAGCTAACTGTTGACCCTTTTCTGTAGATTAATTAAAAAGTTAGTCCTCCAAGCCACCCAGAAATTAGCCCGGGGATAAATAAGGTTAACGTTACTTCGTCCTTTGACCTCTGCGAAATGGAAGCTCCGAGGGAGAACATTAAAGACAGAGGAGAAATAATCTGCAGCATAAAATGCAATTTCTTTAATTGAAAATAATTGGATAAATGAAATTGAAGCGCATCTGTGCGTAGCTTATCCTGTTTCAATGCCAGAAGCGGAAATCCTTTTGAATCCTTTCCACCTCCTCGGCACTCCAGTGGCAATGCAGAATCCCTCTGGATAGCACTTGAAGTGCCATCCTCGAGCAGGAAACCTTTCTGTTTGTTTTACTTTTAGGGTAGAAGTGCAAAATGGATATAGGAAAATGCTTCTGACATTAGGTTAATTAAAAATGCAGCTTCATTTAAACGGTGGCAGGTAGCAGGTATTTGTTGAACCTTTAAGCTTAAACTGAAGTGAATATTATCTTGGCCAAATAGACATACAAGGTCTATTGGTTGACATACAAGGTGTGTTTGATTTTAGGGGGCTTGGCGAAGTGTTTGGCAAAGGTGGGTTCCAATACCAGACATTTAATGGGTTAAACATCAAATAAACAAACAGAACTACTTATTAAAGACAAGTTTATTAATTAAAAACCTTTAGCTTTTAAAAACGAAGTACTTAAACTTGCTTAGAGCTTATCATATTAGATATTAAGTACCTCATCTTAAAATGTGTCGTAAAATGTTATCCGAGTAATTGATTTCGAAACAGTTCCGTATGGTTGGCCACATTTTAGCCCCCTCCTCGGACATTGGTGCCTTGCACTTGACTTTGGCAACCACCGAGAGACACTGGCCGACCTTCACAAGAGTGCCCCCTCTGAGTGGGGTGGGTGGGAGAACGTTAAGCTGCCACAGTCCCAAATGCCGGGTGCGTGTGTAGGTCAACCCCCGGGTAGAAAACTGGTACTAACACAATTATGACATCATCGGGGTCAGGGCAGGCAATCGGATTGGGAAAACAAGTGGGAGAGGGGTGGGGTAAAAGGCATTAGCAACTGAAATCTGACTTTCCATTTCCCTCCACACCGAACAGATATGCGGCCTACTACTGGAAAGTGTCGCGTGAAGGTCGTCGGGTGTACATGGACTACTACTACATGGAGAACGGCAAGCAGATCTATGGAGTGCCCATCGGCGGAATCGGAGGCGGAACCATTGGCCGGGGCTATGCCGGCGAGTTTTGTCGCTTCCAGATGCGACCAGGGATCTACGAGTACAACGTGGTCCACGCCAATCAGTTCATTGTGACCATCAAGGACCCAAAAGGATGCACCATTTTCCAGAGTCTCCTCTCGAAGTGCAGGTAAACTTTCTTTTTCCCCCAATTCGAACTTTCATTCTGTCGCCACTTTCCATTTACTTTCTATAACTTGCCCAAAGAACTGGTTTCATTTTCGGTTTTTCCTCGAATTCGTGTTGTTTGCATGTTTTGAATTTAATTTTCATTTCAATCTCACCTGCTGTGTAATATATTTTCTACCTGGGGACAGCTAGCTGTTGATTTTGTTTGTTTTTTTTATTTGTCTTGATGACTATTGCTCTCGACTAAAGCTCTTAAAAACGAATTATTGATGTCTGACCCGGAACATATGGAACAATGAACTTCCAGGGCATGGCGTGCCCATATTAACCGGGTCATGTCATAACAGATTTGATGGCTTTTGGAATATATTTCAAGTTAGTTTAAGAGTTATATAAAAACTCATAGAATATCATAGATTTCTTTCATAATTTTTGGTAAGAACCTAACATTAGACCCTTCACCATCTACTAGCTGTTCCTATAGCTCTTCTCTAAGCCCTGTTTAGGTATCTCCGCACTCTACCTTCCTCTAACACCCTCTAGTGTAAATACATGTTAACCCTAACCCCGGCTAAATGATGTCAGCTTTCCTAGAACACTTCAGAACTAAACCCCAACTTAACCCCAACACTCGCCTTAAAAAGAGGTGGCGGTTCCTGTGTGTCCAAAAAATCAAAAGTGTTTTCCAACTCAGACACTAATTTTCAACTCAAATATTTTCTCTCATTCTTGATGCACAAACTTGACCAAAAAAATAATAATCGAAACACCACCGACAACATCTACAACAACTACCACTTGGATATAAAATAAACCTGATTTTTATTCCGATTCTGATACCGATTGCGGGTTATTTTGGGTTATCTAATTGCCACAACGACATGGAAATGGTGGGCGTGTTTTTCTTTGGCTTTTATGGGCTTATGCACTTTGGTTCCGATTTGGTTTTACGCTTTTACGCCGCTTTGCCGCACCCGCAACCACACACACCAACCACCCCACCCACCCCATCTACCTGATACCCCACCCCACATTCAAACATAACCAGCACTAGAGGCAGCGGTAGCAGCGGTAATCCGGCGGATCCGGACGCCGATGGGGAGAAAACTAAATGTCAACTGCCCAATTGCAGCAGTCGCCCCAAGCAGCCACTGAGTGCCTGGCACTCGAACATCGAGGACTCGAGGTGCCGGTACACCGGCCTCTATCCGCGCTCCTGGACCGAGTACGATCTCTCCCACTACGGGGTCCGGCTCATTTGCCGCCAGGTGTCTCCGGTCATACCCCATGAGTACCGGGAGTCGAGCCTCCCCTGCGCCGTCTTTGTCTGGGACGTGGAGAACGTGTGCGACCAGGAGCGCAAGGTGTCCATCACCTTTACCTTCAAGAACGGCACTGGTAACAAGAAGCAGGATGCCGAGGGCGGAGCCGAGTCCCAGTTGATCAGCGAGGGCAATGCCAAGGGGGTGGCCATTCGGCAGAAGATTGCCGAGATGCCGTGCAGCTACAATTTGGCCTGCCGGGTCCGCCCGGAGATCAGCATCTCGCGGTGCCCCCAGTTCGATCCCGCCGGCAACGGAGAGCAGCTGTGGGCCCAGCTGAAGGAGCACGGCCAGCTGAATGAGCAGCCCACCCCGGAGAGCCTCAAAAGTAAGTATCTGGAAAGGATTCCCTCGGTATTTTCATCATGAATGATCTCTCTTTAGCCAAGGACATTGGTGTGGCTGTCTGTGCTCAGGTGGCCCTTAAGCCGAAGGCCTCGCACAAGCTGGAGTTCGTACTGGCCTGGGACATGCCCAAGATCCAGTTCCCCAGGAAGATGCAGACCCACACGCGCTACTACACCAAGTACTTTGATGACAGCGGCGAGTCGGGTCCCAAGATCTGCGAGTATGCCCTGAAGCAGTACCCCAGTTGGGAGCGATTGATTGACGCCTGGCAGCGTCCAATTCTCAATGATGAGTAGGTCTTAGACCAGAACTATGTACTCCCAGATACCTAATCCCTTTCATTTTCTTTAGAACCCTTCCCGACTGGTACAAGTGCGCCATTTTCAATCAACTCTACTTCATCTCGGATGGTGGAACCATTTGGCTCAAGTGCGAGTCCTCCCTGGGCAAGGAGCTGAGCTATGATGACCCCAGACTGGCGTACGGTCGCTTTGGCTACTTGGAGGGGCACGAGTACCGGATGTACAACACCTACGACGTCCACTTCTACGCCTCGCCAGCTCTGGCCCATCTCTGGCCGAACTTGCAGGTTAGTCTGCAGTACGACTTCAAGGATGCCATTGCTGCCGAGCTGACCGACACCAGGAAGATGCTCTACGACGGCAAGGTGATGCCCCGGAAGGTCAAGAACTGTGTCCCCCACGACTTGGGCGATCCGGATGAAGGTGAGTTTTGGAAATCCAGGAAATCCTTACCCACATTAACGATATATTCGTTTTCAGAACCCTTTACTCTCATTAACTGCTACAACATTCACGATGTGAACGATTGGAAGGATCTCAATACCAAGTTTGTGCTGCAGGTCTACCGGGACTACTACGTCCTCAACGAACTTGCCCAGGCCCAGGCCGATAATGCCAGCAAGTTCAGCTCCATCGAGTTCATAGACAAGGAGAGCCTCTACGAGATGTACAGCCAGGACAACAAACGCAAGAACTCCTCCGATGAGAAAAAGCGTAGGTTTATTATCCTTCCAATCCTAAGAATAAGTTGAAAAGAAAGTATTCTTTCAGAGAACCGCAAGTCTGCCTCCATGTACATCAATGAGACCAATGGAAGAGTCTATCTGATGGACGCTATCGGTTACCTCAAAGCCATGTATGCCTCCTGCAAGGCTATCATGGAACGAACCATCGAGTACGACAAGGACAATGATGGCCTAATCGAGAACACCAAGATGCCGGACCAGACCTACGACTCCTGGGTGATGGACGGTCCCAGTTCCTACTGCTCTGGGCTTTGGTTGGCCGCGTTACAGGCCATGTCAGCCATGGCTACGATTCTGGACCAGCCTAATGACTGCATGCGGTATCAGGACATCCTGGAAAAGGGCAAGCGGTCGCTGGAGGAGAAGCTCTGGAACGGTAGCTACTACAGGTTTGACTTGTCGCACAGTCACCGGGACACGATTATGGCCGATCAGCTTTGCGGTCATTGGTATCTAAAGTCCTGCGGATTCGACTACGAGATCTATCCAAAAGAAAACGTGCGCACGGCCCTGAAGAGGATCTACGACAACAATGTGATGGGCTTCCATGACGGCAACATTGGAGCGGCCAATGGGTTTATCGCCAATGCCAGCGATCCCTCAAAACCCGGCCATGTGGACAACAGCAACATCCAGGCGGAAGAAGTGTGGCCAGGTGTAGTCTACGCCCTGGCGGCCACCATGATCCAGGAGGGGATGTTCGAGGAGGCGTTCCAGACCGCAGGCGGCATGTACAAGACAATCTCGCAGCGCATCGGCATGAACTTCGAGACTCCGGAGGCTCTTTACGGCGAGAAGAGATACCGCTCCATTGGCTACATGAGACCATTGAGCATCTGGTCGATGCAGGTGGCCCTGGAGAGGCGGCGTGCCCAGCGGGACTAAGTCTCCAGAATGGAGAGAGTACAATCTAATCCCAAGTTTCTTCTTCACGTGCTACACAACCAAAGATACTTCTAAGCCAGCACAAACATAGCCCTTAGTTTATTACCTTTTTTGTCGAGGTTGAATGTGGAAACGAGCTTAATCCGAAGCAATCGATGGATGGTATTAAAATCTATAGCTTTATGTATACTTTTAAGCTAGGATCTGTTGGCTGCGCTTACTCCATGTCTTCTCTAGCTGTAAAGCCACAAACACAAGTCAAACTGCTACTCTCTGTTGAAGTACAACTACGCAATGGTATTCAAAAGGAGCACAAGTCGTATTTAAATGTTAGCTAAGCAAAATATTTAAATCAATTATAGATGTTTCAAATAATTATTTATGTCTTAAGAAAGTATTTCAATGTGTAAACCTGTTGCTATCTGCAATAAATGTGACCCAAACTGGTCAGCAATTAATCGTAAGGGTCTGTTTTTTCGATTTCTTTATTTTTTTTAGGTCGCAACCCTCTATCTATGGATCTGGAGTGGTTTCGGGATCCCTGGCCATGCTAATCCAGTGCCTTAAAAACTTATCATACTCTCGGCGACTGCGACACACAATCACCAGCGAACTGGGACGACAACCGTGCGACTTAAGCTCCTCCATGCGCTCCTTGGTGGTTTTCAGACTGTGGCACAAGATTCGAGGCACTTGGGCGATCTCAGTTCTTGAAAATTTGGCCTCATCCAGCAAGTAGTCCAAAACATCTTTGATCTAAGATTTAAATAGTCAGTTATTATAATCTAAAAAGCTCTTAAACTCACCTTCGTCACCCGCACTGTATGAACTTGAGGATGCCTATCCATAATAGCTTTGGCCTCGTCCACCGTGAATTCCAACCGATGTGCTATGTACTCCACCACAGAGGAGAACTTACCCAGCACTTGCAGCTCGTCTAAGGAAAGCTTGAGTGAGCGTTGTAGTATAGGTTCCGGACAGCGCACCATCCACGGCATAATCTTGTCCTTTTTGGCCCGCTTAGCTCGCTCCAATCGCAGTTGAACCGACTTGGGGGTATAACGAAAGGCCCAGAGGTCCTTGAGGATGTTTATAGGCGACACATTGTATTCTATCATGTAGTGCAGGTTCTTTTCAAACATCTCAAAAGGCATTTCCAGAATAAAGAGTCGTTTCGATAGGTATTTGGTAACGATTTCCGGGCTGACTTGTAGCTTATCGCTGATGTAGTACACCCGATTTCCCAGGGGAATGGTGTTCCTTTCGGAGTTCAAGGCGCTGACCAGCTTTCGGAGCCTGGGCACGGTGAGGCGCAGGAACGGGACAAAGTCATTGATGTCCCGCATGTCCATTGACTTGATAAGCTGCAGCTTCAGTTCCAGGCGCTCTTAAATAGTAACATTATAAAGTTGGAAAACAAATGGTTTTACTGACATAGAAGACTCACTGTTGTCCAGGGATAACAACCAGGGGTACTCCACAAAGCTGCGCCTGGCCACGCCCTCCAGCAACAACGTATCCATCGTCGAGATCAAAGAACGTCCACGGTAAGTTCGGTTCACTGTCTCATCGCTCAGAATCCGCTGCAGCTCTGCGTCGGTAAAACGGAACCTTTCCCTTAGTGCTTCCACTAAAGTACTGGACTTGGTGCCCGTTTCCTGCTCCAGTTTATAGGGCACATACTCATTGTCTGTCTCGCTGCCACCGAATGGAGCATTTGTTGTGGCGGTGGCCGCCAGAGGTGTCTTCCTGAGCCTCGCATGGCCGTCGAATTCGTACTGGGAGAAAAGAAGGCGCCTGCTGCAGGAAACCGATGCTGCATTTGTGGTAGCCGGTAGTCGCAGAACAGTTTCAAAGCTGCGCAGCAAATTCCGCAACATTTCAATGGATTTTGGCCGGGCTAATGTAATTTATAAAACAGTTTTTGGTTTTGGCCGGCGTTGTGTTGGGGCTGCCAACTTGTTGCGCCACGGAAACAGCTGATTGTAAAGGGGGTAATCTAGTTCAGATAAAAACCATTAGCCTATTTTTTATGTGAAATTTTTTAAGGTTTAAATATTAAATATATTTATATAAAAGCATTTTTTAAAAACTTAATTCTTTTCAAAGACAGAATATTTTTCTCTCATGATTTCATACTAAATTATCCATAGCCAAAATATGGTATACAATGAAGGCTATATCTTCCCCGATTCTCATCCGATTCTCAAGCGGAGCACCTTAAACGATTTCTAGATCGATTTCCCACCATTCTGCATCAAAATCCTGAGACAAATTATTTTTCAGATTTTTTGTCAATTTTTCTGATGGGATCCCTTGAAAATGGGGTTTTCCCCTATAGGGTCCACTGTGATGGCTATATCTTCCCCAATTCCCATCCGATTCTCAAGCGGAGTACCTTAAACGATTTCTGGATCGATTCCCCACCATTCTGAATCAAAATCCTGAGACAAAATATTTTTCAGATTTTTTATCCATTTTTCTGATGGGGTCCCTTTGAAAATGGGATTTTACCCTATAGGGTCCACTGTGATGGCTATATCTTCCCCAATTCTCCTCCGATTCTCAATCGGAGTTCCTTAAACGATTTCTGGATCGATTCGCCACCATTCTGCACCAAAATCCGGAGACAAAATATTTTTCAGATTTTTTGTCAATTTTTCTGATGGGGTCCCTTGAAAATGGGGTTTTCCCCTATAGGGTCCATAGTGATATCTTCATAGGTCCATATCTTCCCCAATTCTTATCCGATTATCAAGCGGAGTACCTTAAACGATTTCTGGATCGATTTCCCACCATTCTGCATCAAAATCCTGAGACAAAATATTTTTTAGATTTTTTGTCCATTTTTCTGATGGGGTCCCTTTGAAAATGGGATTTTACCCTATAGGGTCCACTGTGATGGCTATATCTTCCCCAATTCTCATCCGATTCTCAAGCGGAGTACCTTAAACGATTTCTGGATCGATTTCCCACCATTCTGCATCAAAATCCTGAGACAAAATATTTTTTAGATTTTTTGTCCATTTTTCTGATGGGGTCCCTTTGAAAATGGGATTTTACCCTATAGGGTCCACTGTGATGGCTATATCTTCCCCAATTCTCCTCCGATTCTCAATCGGAGTTCCTTAAACGATTTCTGGATCGATTCGCCACCATTCTGCACCAAAATCCTGAGACAAAATATTTTTCAGATTTTTTGTCAATTTTTCTGATGGGGTCCCTTGAAAATGGGATTTTACGCTATAGGGTCCACTGTGATGGCTATATCTTCCCCAATTCTCATCCGATTCTCTAGCGGAGTACCTTAAACGATTTCTGGATCGATTTCCCACCATTCTGCATCAAAATCCTGAGACAAAATATTTTTTAGATTTTTTGTCCATTTTTCTGATGGGGTCCCTTTGAAAATGGGATTTTACCCTATAGGGTCCACTGTGATGGCTATATCTTCCCCAATTCTCATCCGATTCTCAAGCGGAGTACCTTAAACGATTTCTGGATCGATTTCCCACCATTCTGCATCAAAATCCTGAGACAAAATATTTTTTAGATTTTTTGTCCATTTTTCTGATGGGGTCCCTTGAAAATGGGGTTTTCCCCTATAGGGTCCATAGTGATATCTTCATAGGTCCATATCTTCCCCAATTCTTATCCGATTATCAAGCGGAGTACCTTAAACGATTTCTGGATCGATTCGCCACCATTCTGCATCAAAATCCTAAGACAAAATATTTTTCAGATTTTTTGTCAATTTTTCTGATGGGATCCCTTGAAAATGGGATTTTACGCTATAGGGTCCACTGTGATGGCTATATCTTCCCCAATTCTCATCCGATTCTCAAGCGGAGTACCTTAAACGATTTCTGGATCGATTTCCCACCATTCTGCATCAAAATCCTGAGACAAAATATTTTTCAGATTTTTTGTCCATTTTTCTGATGGAGTCCCTTGAAAATGGGGTTTTCCCCTATAGGGTCCACAGTAATGGCTATATCTTCCTCAATCCTGATCCGATTCTCAAGCGGAGTACCTTAAACGATTTCTAGATCGATTTCCCACCATTCTGCATCAAAATCCTGAGACAAAATATTTTTCAGATTTTTTGTCAATTTTTCTGATGGGACCCCTTGAGAATGGGGTTTTCCTCTATAGGGTCCACTGTGATGGCTATATCTTCCCCAATTCACATCCGATTCTCAAGCGGAGTACCTTAAACAATGTCTAGATCGATTCGCCACCATTCAGCATCAAAATCAAAAGAAGGGTGTATGCAAAGTTTCAAGTCGATAGCTTTTAAACTGAGAGATTCATTCGCCTAGAAACAGACAGACGGACAGTATTATATCAACTCAGGAGGTGATCCTGATCAAGAATATATATACATTATAGGGTCGGTGATGTCTCCCTCACTGAGTTGCACACTTTTGACCAATATTATAATACCCTCTGCAGTGGTATAATAATGTATCACCCTTAGAACTCAATAATAAAGAAATTATATTTGGTTTCTCAACAAACTTCTTTAGACTTTATTTTTTTTTCAGAAAATACTAAGCTCCAAGGCTGCTTGGAACATAACCGTAAACATTGAACTGAAGATTTTTTAAACAAATCAAAAAATTCTATCACAGACTCTGAGATATAAGCCGCCTACTCCACATCGATGTCCTTGGTGACGCGACCCACCCAGTAAACAAATCCGGTCTGAACCACGGTGGCCATGAACTTGACGTTTCCTTTGTATCCGGCTGGTGGAGTCCACTCGAAAGTGATACCCTGGATGGGGCTTTCCTTCTTGGCCTTCAGATGGGTCAGGGTGTCATCCGAGCTGGAGCAATCCAGAGTCTGGGAGTGGGCGGCGTCCACCACCTCAAACTTGCCCACCACACGGTTCTGTCCATCGCGGGCCTGGATCATGAAGCCGAGGAACTCATCGCCGCCCAGGGTCAGGGTCAGTTTCTGGTCACTGCGCACGTGCGACGGCCCGGAGAAGCTGTACGGCGGCTTGGCAGTCTGCAGCTTGGCACCGTGCTGAGGAGTCAGATCCTTGCAGGCTGCCTTTGGAGCACCATCGGAGTAGGCATGGACACTGATGGCCAGGCAGGCGGCGAGCACCAATAGACGGAACATAATAACTGAAAATATTAAGGTTTTTTATTATTATTATTAATTATTAAAAAGTTACTCTTAAGAACTCGAGTGAATTAAAATGTTTAATCGAAATAAACTGGTTATTCACCTTCTATAATTATTTAAAGCATTTCCGTTAAATTTATTTTCTTGGCAACTTTTTGCATGCTATTCAGTTAAAAGGTAATTGCCTTCTCTAGTTTTTCATAAATTAATTAATTAACATTTGCACTCAAGTGAGACTTTTTTTCTGGCCTTGGATAGCGAGACATTGTTTTAGTAATTTTATTTTTTTTTTTCCAAAGATTTAACATTTACGTAGGCAGTTACAAGCATATTGAAAACCAGCTCTTGATTATGCAGTTTGTCAACGCCAACTTTATTATGCAGTTTTAGTTTTTTATTTTTATTTTTTTTTTTGGATCTACAATACATGTTCCAAGACACAACCTTGGCACTTGACAGTTTTTTGCTTCTAAATGGTGTTAGACCTACAAGTAACCAGCATCTTTGAAAACTTTGTACATAACAAAGAATATAAAATAAAAAACGCATTTAAATGTTTAAGTAAATTTTGCACAAAACTTAACAATTCAATCACGCTTTGATAGTAAATCTTCAAATTCGCAGAACAGAGAAAAGAAAAAAATAAATATTTAATACAATTATAAAATTGGTCAAGTTGCATGTTGATTAAAGACCATTTTTCAAAATCATCAAACTGGTTTTTCGGCCATAAACGAAAAGTTTTTAAGGCGCAAAAACAAGTTTTCAGTACATTTCCATAGAAGAGCCATTTTATAATTACTTTTATATCTGTCATTACCATTCGATTCGAAAAGATACAAGTGTGTGACAATTTCAAAAACGTGCACAATAGATACATGTATCTCTGAGTACTTCCTCGATCGCAGCTCAAGTTCAAGGTGATCGGATAGGAGGGATCTCGAGTATCTCGATCTCCATCTGATTGATCTTCTACCAGCTATATGTAGCTGGAGCTTAGTTTCGAATAGACCTTGTAAGAGAAGCCTCGATATGTCTTGCAATATGCTAAAGTTCAGCATTGGTCTACGACAAGTCTGGCATCAGTTGGTTTTTTTTTTCTTTATCTGTGTATTTATGGGCCTTTGTCCAACCGGTTGCCGAATTTGTCGACTTAAGATCTCCATAGTTGTTGGTTTATTTTTTGTATTTTGCGTATTTCTGTGTCTGTCATTACGAGGCCTCAATTAGCTTGCTTTTGTAATGGTTCGAAAAATATTATTATTATCAAGTTGCCGGGATCGGGCTTACTGAAGCTTGAAGTTTTGTATTTAACTCTGAAACAATGAACTAAAAAACTAAAATCCACAAAAAAGTTTTTAAATTTAAATTTTGCACTCAGTTTCAACTAGTTTAAATCTATTTAATAGATATGCTAAAAATATATATATTTTTTCAAATTAACTATGTTTTTGAATCTCTAGATTTTATCTGCTTTTATAGAACATATTAATTTTTATTTGCATTTCCTTTTCCATCTTATCAGAATTTTTCCTCAGAACCAACTTCTTTCAGGATCTTTTAAATATATGTTTTATATATATTTTTTTAAGATTTACATACCACTCGAATAGCACACAAAACGGCACAAAAACTTTAAATGAGCTGAAAATTCTACAACATCTACCTTTTATACCAAAATTCGATCTATAGCTTTGCAAAGTAAGCCCACTGAGCAAAAGACCGGTCGGAGTCGAGCTTTATCGAACACCAAGTTGGCCAACAAAGTTGCAAAAGCTTTTCCAACTAAGCCTTTAAATTGGATCTAAGCCAGTTCCATTACGGAGAGCTATGTTGATCCGTAGTACTCCAAAACAGTGACTAAGTGTTTACTCCGAGCTAGATATCAATTAGCAACATGTATTGATTTGCGGAGAAACTTATAATAATCGCTGACTTTTAATGGAAAGTTTAATTATTAAATATATTAAGGCTTTATCTTATAGGTCAACAACATTCATTAGCGGTTAAGATTTTTAGAACAAATAAAAGTAACGATTCATATATTAAATTCAAATATACATCATGATAAAGGGATCATACCATACATATTTAGACAATTGTTAGTTTATATATTTTAGTTTGAAATTTATTATTTATTATTCTATTAGAATTTATTAAGTAGAAGCCCCGTGGTAGTTAATAAGCTATCAGATATCTTAAGAAAATCCTGGACTCCAAGGAAGAAGGTGGTACGATCTAAGTCCATAACACCGTCAAATATTCGATGTATTGATACTATTGGTAGAGTATTTAATGAAAAATTAGATTTAAGGATATGAAAAATTAATTAAATCTATAGATTAATATTCAAAATAAGTCGGATACAATGGAGAAATGTGGAAAAAAATATGGGCTTAATACTACAACTTCATAAAATGTATATTACTGATTAGCCTCATCCTATCAAGGGGGCTTTAACTCGAGTTTTGGAGATTGATATTGGATATTGATGACCCTGGTACTTAAACCTCCACCCAAATCTACTTATAATGTAAATTAAATAAAATAATATTTAAAATACAAATAAATATACCTAGAATGAACCTACTGAGTACCTTTTTATAAACGTTCACAATATTAAGGTTGAAAAAGAAAACCAAAGTAGGCGGGTAGGAACTGTCATTTTTCAGGTTTTTTCTGCGTTACAATTAGTAGGCTAAAAATATTAAAAATATGGGTGCAGAGCAGTCAGCACGGTTGGTTTGTACGGAAACGGCAGAGACAGAAAAGCCTTTGAAACTCATCAATTCCGAGTTATTTTTCCGATTGTATTTCGAAAAGATGCCCCAGCCGGTTACGGGTCCTGTGACTGAAGCCCTTCTTCATTTGGTGAAGAATCTACACGATAACGGAGAGCTCTTTATTGGTTAGTTATAATAAGTTTATTTTAAGTTAAATGAAAAAAAATACCAATCCTATAGAAGAAGTAGAAGTGCCCCAAGGCGAAGTGGACAGGATGGACAGTGACACCGAAAGTGGATTCAACTCTGACTCTACAATCTCTGTAGGAGACTACGACGAAGATGTGGGTATAGAGCCCATCCGGGTAGCGGAATTCGATTCCATGGATGAATATGACATTCCCCCTCCTGGCCCGGATGATATTATTGAAGACCCCCAGTCCGATGTCGGCCCATTGAATAATTAGACATTTAATAAAACAAGGATTTATGTACACAACTAATTGCAGTTCGTTAAATGTCTCTACTTAAAGTTAACCTTCTTTAGCCTGAGGGATTTGATGGGTCTGACAATGCTCCTTCGCTCTTCGCGATGCTTCTTTAGTTCCGCCTCTCGCTTCTTGGCATGGTACTGCGACTTCTTTTGTTTGTTCACCTCGAATGTCATCTGGCGATTGCCGAGGGAGCGACCCACGTTTGTCACCTGGCCCTCCAGTTGGGTCATTACGCGCACGCGATCCTGCAGAGTGGCCTGTTTGATGCGTTGCTGCAGGGCACTGCTTCCCTTGTGCGGATCTAGAGCGGTCATGGTAAAGCGATTGCCAGATCCATTTGTGGCGGGTCTTGCTGCGTTTCCGTTTGTATGGGGTGCGGCTGTGATTTCGGGGGCATCTTGTTCGTCGTCATCGTCCTCCTCCTCCTCGTCCTCACGCTGTCGCTTCACTTGCTTGTAGGCCTGCTTCATTTCCTTGACATATTCCTTGCGGTCGTCATCATCTGAAGAGGCTTCATCTCCGCTATCGTCCTTCTCGCCATCACTCTTCTCGAAACCAAACAGATCCTCATCGTCGTCACTATCCTCATGCTGCTGTGCTTCCTCTTCATGCAATTCCGCTACCCTAGCCACTTCCACTCGCTTCTTCAGCTCCTTTGCCTTCGACTTGTCCAGACGATTCAAAACCGGAGCCAACAGACGATACTCCTCAGCCTCCTTGTTAACCGCAAAGTCAGTATTCTCAAACATAGCCTTGAAACGAGAATCCTCCAGCAGATTGGGAACATTTCGCTGCTTGGCACTGTTCGATGGGTTGGCTTGCTCGTCCATAATCTTGAGGGCCAATTCTTTGTTGACTTTCGGGAGCTTGGATTCGATCTGCAGACGTGACTTGCGCTCGCTCTCGATCTCCTGCCGGATTTTATCCTTACGGAACCGATCGAAGGCGAAGGGTTCCACCACAGCCTTGGCTTTGTTGTACAAACGTGCATCCATGAAATAACTGAAAGATTAAACAAAAAATTCTATTAGTTTAGAACTTTAAAGAAAATAAACACTTGTTCTTACCCGTGCATGTAACCCTTGAGAAGATTTGTGCCCACGAGGTGTTCCATACCGAGTTCTGCCAGTTCCTTGGCCGTGACAAATTGATAGTCATCGTAGACATTCTCAACAACTTCGGACTCGATCTCTTCGGTAAGGTTATCCAGGAAAGAGCACCACCGTGGCGCTGGACCCATCGCTGGCACGTAGTAGGTTAACATTTTGACGTCCTCCTGAGCCAGGAAGAACATACCCGTGTCGGGAATAGTGCAAAAGTCATTGAACGATGTAGTGGACTCCACATAGGCAATTTGTTTCCCCGTCTGCTCATCCCAAAGTTTCAGAGTGGCCTCGTCCAAGCTGTAAACCGCATTCTGGGCAGGATTAAAAGCTAGCCGCTTGATAGGTAGCTTGTTTAGATGATTTTTCACAAGGAGAGGTTGCTTGGCCCGAATATCATAGATGAGAACATGGCCGGAAGCTGTTCCAACTCCCATATGCAGGCCATTGCGGAATTTAAGTGCCGTGACAGAGGGAAACTCCTTGACGCCCGGCAGCCGTATAGCCACATCCAGAGTGGAGCAACGCTGTTTCGTTCGCGGATCCCAAGCTTCCACTGTACCCTCTTTGGTGCCGGCTACCAGCAGATGGTGTTCAGGATTCACTTCGCAAGCGTTCAAACAACTTGCGTCTGTTTCGAATGGTTGTAGAAACTGTCCCCTCTCTAGGTTAAGCCGGTAGATGTCCTGTAAGCAGATAGATGGGCTTCAGCAACAAGTTCCTCTCTGAAGTCATTTGATATTACCCTTCCCACCCCCACGATAAACATATCGCAGCTGGGTTTGTGAAACTTCATATCTCGCCCGAAACGTGGAATCCTCAGCCTGTAATGACGGCCATGGGCCGCATGGATCTCCACGTAGCGGTCGCACTGCAAGAAGACCATCTTGCTGTAGTCGTCGCTTATGACCTCAAAGGTGGTCACTTCGGAGTCAAAACACCGCTCAAACTTAATGGACAGGTTGGAGACCTCGAAGCACTTGACGCGGGGTTTGTAGGTACCCGTGGCTAGTATGTACTGCTGGTCGGGACTCATTCGTATGCTGGTGCATACACCCGGCATGTCAAAGTCCTGGATGAGCTCTATTTGGCGCCGGGAGTCAACCTTTTTCATCAGCTGAGACCTCTTCCGCCTGTCGGTGAGCCACTGCAAAGAAATGATGAATTAAACCGCAGCTCAGATACATTTTCAGCTTACTTACATCTGGCACCGACTTGCCGGCGCTTAAATTGTAGATCTTCACATCGTTGACTTCGTTTACAAACATTCTGGCTGCAATATATTAAAAATATTGCAACATAAACAAACGAAGAGTCCGCAACACGTGCGCCTTCTCTAACAATGTGGCCAGGCTTTGGGTTGAGACACCATACTTGGTATTTATCTACGATTCAGCTGAATAAAAAACTGACTTTGGTTTTTTTCATATATATGGATGAAAATAATTCAATTTAAATGTAATCTTTTAAAAGCAATAAGTTTTTATAGCATATATTTGAACAGAAATAATTTGAATTTCCGTTACAAATAACTACCGATAACCAAGGGCGGCTCAGGAGCGTTGCCACCGTATCGGAAAATGGTAGTTGCTGCTCCCAGGCTTTTTTCGTAGTGAGACCAAACAGTCCAAAGTCAAGGAAGAAGACGCAAAAAGAAAAGTGTCTACTGATTTCCATCGCGACTCGCCAATTAAAAATAATTGCAATAACAAAGTTTTCGGAGCCCTAAAGTCTGTGTGTGTGATTGCACAGGACTGAGCCGCGCTTGACTTGCATCGAAGCGTCATTGGCAAACTATTCCGCCCCTCTAACAATAATAATAACAACCAAAAGCAACTTGCACATTCCCCCCCGCACCCGTCGTCATCAGAGTCGAACCAAAAACGGTGAGTAATATTCGCTAAGCCAATTAAGTATTCTTGGCTCTGCGATTATACAGAAAAAGAAAACTAGTTATGCATCTGGGATGTAGTGTAAGGTACAAAACAAATCAAACATTCTGTGTGGTACCACTATTCACCAACAAAACTTTCCCCTCCTTTGTTGCGTTTGTATACACCCCCATTATACTCTTGCAAGGGGTACTTTGAGTTTCACTCAAGGGAGGAAATTCAAAAATGTATACACTTTCTTTATATTGCAATAAATTGAAAATTAAACAAAAGGTTATTAAAACTCGTTTGTATTTTCGTGCTACCAAAACAACACTCTACGGATGAAGTTCATCAGCTATGAGATCCCTCATAACAGTCTTTTAGTATTTTGTTATCTCTTTTACTTTATTAACTATCTTTATGTTGTATACCCTTTCAAAATAATCAAAATTTAAGTATAAATATAAAATAAAGAGTATAAAAATGTCAACTTTATGAAAATATCTTTTTCTTGTTATTTTTGTTGTTGCACTCCAATCTGGTTATATGTATATGCGACCCCCATTATTACTTTTTGCTCGTTTTGGGTGTCTTTGTGCTAGATTTTTTTTCTGTAATAAGGGGAGGGTGGATGATTCAAATTCCTTTGGCGCAAGAGCCAGTCTCCTTGCGATTAATTGCTCCACTGGCCAAAGGCCCATGGTCTTTGACTGATAAGTCTAATCTGAGACTGCCAGTCGGGTGCCAATGAGTCTTTGAAATATTGATAAGAATAAGTAGTTTGAAATGCAATAAAACAATCCAATAGATTCGGAACAACCTTGAGAGTGATTTAAAGCTCTTGATCTCTTCTCTTTCTGATATTCTATTGAAAAATATTAACAATTTTTATTATTTCTAATCATTTTAATTCAGCAACTCACGCTACTGAGTCGTGATATACATTTTTTATGATAAAAAAATTGGTAAATAACTGAATATTTATCAATGAATGATTTTAAATTCTATAGAATACAATGAATATTACCTTAATGGCTTAAAACCCCTAGTCTGGGAACACTCGCCTGGATTTGTATACTTCCCACGATTACGCCACGGCCTTGAGCCTAATCCCTTTCAAGCTCCTCGAGAGCCGGCCATATGAAAGGCTTTCAAGTTTACTGGCACTCCGACAGTCAAGTGGTGTATGGATATTCCCCCTGGAGGGTTTTTACCCACCACTCTTAAAAACTTCACTCTTTTTTTTCGGCTTCGCAAATAAACAAACTTGGTCGGCTGTTCAAACACGAGCATGCCTTAAAAAAAAAAAAAAAAAGTATATTGGGGGCAGTTTGGAAAAAAAAAGGGTAACGGGGAACAAAATGTTGTGTTGCCGACGCAGAACCAATTAATGCAGTGCCACAGTTTGTTGATAAGGCCGTGTCGTTGGACATTCAAATGAGCACCTGATATAGAGTGCAAGAGAACCACTATTGCCTGGGCTGGGAGTTGGTTCATGTCAAGATGAGTAAAGTGCGCAGTGTGGTTAACCGGTTGCACGAGCGGATCGATTATCTTATAGAAAAATGTGGGCTCTACACTAACTCTAACACCAAGTTAATGCGATATATACTAACTATCCATTGTTTTAGGTCCCAATATGACTGCAGCGCCTTACAACTACAACTATATTTTCAAGTACATCATCATCGGTGACATGGGCGTGGGCAAGTCCTGCCTGCTGCACCAGTTCACTGAGAAAAAATGTGAGTAACTGATCAGAAAATAGAACCAAAGAACTAACTTTCCCTGTTCTTGATTAGTCATGGCCAATTGTCCGCATACGATTGGCGTGGAGTTTGGAACTCGCATCATTGAGGTGGACGACAAGAAGATAAAGCTACAGATCTGGGACACGGCGGGCCAGGAGAGATTCCGGGCCGTGACACGGTCCTATTACAGAGGAGCTGCAGGAGCGTTGATGGTGTATGATATAACCAGGCGGTAAGTTAGAGAGGGCCAATTTAATTGTAGATTATTGCTAATTCTTTGTATATGTTTCAGCTCCACTTACAATCACCTGAGCAGCTGGCTCACCGACACGCGTAATCTCACAAATCCAAGTACTGTGATCTTTCTCATTGGCAACAAGTCCGATCTGGAGAGCACTCGCGAGGTGACCTACGAGGAGGCCAAGGAGTTTGCCGATGAGAATGGACTCATGTTTCTCGAAGCAAGTGCAATGACGTAAGTATACGATCCATAATATAGGCAGGACTTCAAAGATTTACGTCAATTACAGAGGTCAGAATGTGGAGGAGGCATTTCTCGAAACCGCACGCAAGATCTACCAGAATATCCAGGAGGGCCGGCTGGATCTGAACGCCTCAGAGTCGGGAGTGCAACATCGACCCTCGCAGCCGTCGAGGACATCGCTGAGCAGTGAAGCCACGGGCGCCAAGGATCAGTGCTCATGCTAAATGAATGCACCTTATATTTACACACTCCTAGATATACAAAATCTACTTTTATTTTTAGCCGACTCGTAATCTACCGAAGCCCAAGCTAAAACCAATGTATGTAGTTGAATGATTCGATTAAGCATAATGTGTGAGCGATTTGCAGCGACAGCAACAAGACAAACCAAAATATATAAGAGCCCTCCCCAATAATACGACAAAGCCACTTCAAACGTTTGTAATGTCGAGTAAGCGTTCTAATTAGTAAATTAAAGAGGATTGTTGGTTAGAGAGAGAGAGTTATTTTCAAGCATCGTTAGAGAAACCAAAGTTTTGATTATGAAATTTCTAAAAGTTTATTGCTCTTTATCCTAAAAAGTCACTCGTTCGTTTGGTCCAATACCTTAAGTCGGTGCGTTCTATGCAGAACACTTATTCTGTTGGCTGTCTATCTCTGTATATATATGAATTTTTGTATCTCCCTTTATGAATCATTTTTTGTTGAGTATTTGTTGTAGACGCGTGCGAAGAGGAATACGATCAATGTTATATGAATATTAACGATGTATTAATGGCATAATGCAATAGGAAATAAAAAACCACGGTATTTATAAAGCCCTACCAATTAAAAATTTGTTTCTTTTATTTAAAAGTAAGGTTTGGAATTGCAAGATACTAACCCCCAATAAAAATCGATAACCCATTCAAATTACCCGCCAAGAGTGTTGTCTAACTGGCCAAAGACTCAAAACCGTGCTGGAAAACATGTTAATTCCAAGATAATGCAACACTGACTACCAGTATGCAAATTAAAATTAATTTATTCGGCCATCATGCAGTGACGAAATAGCGATCCAAAGGGGCAACGTAAGCGAATCTCGGACCCATGATGCAAATAAAGCGTCTTCTGTGCAAGTCCTGCAGCCTGGGCACCCTTCTTGTGTGCATCGTCTGGCTGCTGGCGCTGCTCTTCTACTCTCACAGTCTGGGGAGCTCCATTCGATCGGCGGGCTGGAAGATCGACGCGGCGAACGCCACCCCAAGGGCGGAGCTAAGCTTTCAAGCCAGGGTCACAACCGGATGCACACCTAGCCAAGGCGGAAATGGCACCAGGGACTCCCCAGCTGAGAATAAGGACTCGCCTGGCGAGAAACTGGAACTCTTGGGAGTGGTGCGCAACAAGCAGGACAAGTACATTCGCGACATTGGCTATAAGCACCATGCCTTTAATGCACTGGTGTCGAACAACATTGGGCTCTTCAGGGACATACCCGACACTCGGCACAAAGTCTGCGACCGGAGCGAGACTTCCGAAGGAGAGAACCTTCCGCATGCCTCCGTGGTTATGTGCTTCTACAACGAGCACAAAATGACCCTGATGCGGTCAATTAAAACGGTGTTGGAACGTACTCCTAGTTACCTCTTAAAGGAAATCATCCTTGTGGGCGACCACAGTGACTTGCCCGAACTGGAGTTCCACTTACATGCGGACCTGCGTGCCCGTCTTAAGTATCCGAACCTGCGTTACATTAAAAACGAGGAGCGAGAAGGCCTAATCCGCTCCAGAGTGATTGGAGCCCGTGAAGCCGTCGGCGATGTTCTGGTCTTTCTGGACTCGCACATCGAAGTGAACCAGCAGTGGCTGGAACCTCTCCTGCGGCTCATTAAAGCGGAAAACTCCACTCTAGCAGTTCCTGTCATAGATCTTATTAACGCCGACACCTTTGAGTACACACCCAGTCCCTTGGTGCGTGGAGGATTCAACTGGGGCCTTCACTTCCGATGGGAGAATCTTCCAGAGGGCACGCTCAAGGTGCCCGAGGACTTCCGCGGCCCATTTCGTTCCCCCACAATGGCCGGCGGGTTGTTTGCAGTGAACCGAAAGTACTTCCAGCATCTTGGCGAATACGACATGGCCATGGACATCTGGGGTGGCGAGAACATTGAGATCTCGTTCCGGGCCTGGCAGTGTGGTGGTGCCATAAAGATTGTCCCCTGCTCCCGAGTTGGACACATCTTTCGCAAGCGACGTCCCTATTCCTCCCCGGATGGAGCCAACACCATGCTAAAGAACTCACTGCGATTGGCCCACGTCTGGATGGATGACTACAAGGATTACTACATCAAGCATGAGAAGGTGCCCAAGGATTACGACTACGGAGACATCAGCGTCCGAGTGAAACTTAGGGAGCGCCTTCAATGCCACGACTTCTCCTGGTACCTGAAAAACGTCTATCCGGAACTGCGGGTGCCCGGCGAAGAGTCCAAGAAACCGGCTGCAGCACCCATCTTCCAGCCTTGGCACTCGCGAAAACGTACCTATGTCGACTCGTACCAGTTGCGCCTGGCCGAAACGGAACTCTGTGCCGCCGTAGCGGGTCCGAAAGTAAAGGGCTTCTGGAAGAAGGGAAGCCAGCTTCACCTGCAGCCCTGCAAGCCGATCCCCAGCCAGCTATGGTACGAAACGGACAAGGCCGAGATAGTTTTGGACAAGCTGCTCTGCCTGGAGGCGTCGGGAGACGCCCAGGTCACAGTAAACAAGTGCCATGAGATGCTCGGTGACCAGCAGTGGCGTCACACCCGCAACTCCAACAGCCCCGTCTACAATATGGCTCTGGGTACCTGCCTGCGAGCAGCTGCTCCGGCTTCTGGGGCCATCATAAGCCTCGATCTCTGCTCCAAGACGGGTGGAGGTGGCGGCGGAGCCTGGGACATTGTGCAGCTAAAAAATACGGAGGCGGGGAATCCCAAAAAAGCGGACAAGGCGCTATGAGCGGCATGAACAACAATCGTATTGCAATATTAGACTGATAACTGTTTAGGTGCAAAGTGTATTATGTTTAAATAGTCAGTATTTTTCCATAAAATTAAATAAAAACACAGGGGTTTTATAAATGCTTAACATAAGTTATTTTTTAGATGTTAATATTTTTTTTCAGTGCTTTGCAAGATGTAGGCCAGTTAAAACAGTTCGTTTCTTAAGTATCTTTCTGGAGTGACCGTTTATCGTGGTATTTCAAAGTATCTTTAATCCGGTCACTCTACACCGGGAATTCGCATTCTTTTTGGCAAAACAGGCGCCAAATTTTATTGTTTATTTAAAAGATTTGTAATCCCCAACCATGCAGGCCAAAGCAACCGAAAGCCGGCAGGAACCGACGCTGCATATGGGTATGTAATTGCCAAGTTATTGAACCCAAAGAATGCTATTAACAATTATTATTTTTAGATACAAATGCGCGTCGCAATTTCATCAAGGCCCACGCCAAGCTAGGCGAGGTAAGAAATAATAATGTATTTGTTTTCACTTATAACTATAATGCATTACCTTCACAGAAACCCAGCAGCACAGTGCGATTCTTTGATCACTCCGATTGCTATACCGTCCATGGCAGCGATGACTGCGAGCTGGTGGCTAAAGTGGTGTACAAATCCACTGCCTACATTGGAGCCCTTATTCCGGATGACAAGAAGGAGACCCTTCAGTTTGTTTCCTTGTCCAAGAACAATTTTGAGCTGGCCGTGCGTGAGCTGCTCCTGGTGCGGAATCTTCGCGTGGAAGTCTTTGTGAAGCAATCCACCGATTGGAAGCTGGAGTATCGCGGATCACCGGGAAACCTGTTGCAGTTCGAGGACATACTCTTTGCCAACAAAGAGGTATTAGTGGGCAACAGTATAATCTCGCTGTTGGTCAAGTTGGAGGGCGGAGCCCAGCGCCGTGTAGGCGTGGCCAGTGTGGAGCAGAACGACTGCCAGTTCCAGTTGCTTGAGTTTTTGGACGACGATTTCTTCACGGAATTGGAGGCCACTGTGGTATTGCTGGGACCAAAAGAGTGCCTGCTTCCGAGCCTGGATGGCGAATATGCGGCCGTGAAAACTTTACTAGAACGGAATGGGGTGATGATCACGGTGCCCAAGAAGAGCAGTGCCAACGATCTGATACAGGATTTGAATCGTTTGCTGCGGTTCGCCAAAGGCCAACAGGAAGATGCCACGGGTCTCAAGGAGTTGCAACTGCAGTTGGCCTCTGACGCTCTAAAGGTGGCTATTAAGTACTTGGATTTGGTCAACGATCCTGGAAACTTGGGTCATTACGAAATAAAGCAACTCGATCTGAAGCGGTATGACTCAAATACTAAGAGTATATGAACAAATATTAACTTTATTCTCATTTCAGCTTTGTTCACTTGGACTCGGCTGCCGTAGCTGCTTTAAATATCATGCCCAAGCCGGGAACTCATCCGTCTATGCCTTCATACCGTTGGCAGAGTATCCTGGGGGTGCTGGACCACTGCCGCACACCGCAAGGTCATCGCCTTATGGGCCAGTGGGTGAAGCAACCACTACGCCGCCGTGAAATCCTCAACGACCGGCACAACGTGGTGGAGTGCCTGTTAGAGGCACCGGATACGCTGGAAACCCTCAGCTTAGATTATCTCAAGCGTATACCCGATATCCTAATGCTCACCAAAAAGTTAATGCGTCGGAAGGCCACATTGCAGGACCTTTTCCGCATTTACCAAGTTATCCTTCGCACTCCGAAGATCCTAAAGGTATTGTTTGAGCTAGAGAACTCCACGGTGGAGAGTATGATTTGTGCTCCATTCAAAAGCTTCCTGGAGGACCTCACCGGTCTCAAGCAAATGGTCGAGCAGGTGGTTGATTTCGAAGCCATCGAAAGGGGCGAGTATCTGGTGAAGGCTTCTTTCGACAGTCGTTTGATGGAGTTGCAACAAACCATGAACGAGTTGTATTCAAAAATGGAGCGACTGCAGGCAAAGTGCAGTGAAGAGCTGAATCTGGATGGCAAGCAGCAAGTGAAGCTCGAGAATATAGCCAAGCTGGGACATCATTTCCGCATTACCCTCAAGGATGATTCAGTGCTGAAGAAGAATAAGAACTATCGCATTGTGGACGTGATCAAGGGTGGCGTTCGCTTCACCTCAGACAAGTTGGAGAGCTATGCCGAAGAGTTTGGCAGCTGCCGCAGTCGCTACGAAGAACAGCAGCTCTCTATCGTTGAAGAGATCATCCAGGTGGCTGTGGGATATGCTGCTCCGCTCACATCACTTAACAACGAACTGGCCCAGCTCGATTGTCTGGTCAGTTTCGCCATTGCGGCCCGTAGTGCTCCCACACCCTATGTACGTCCCAAAATGTTGGAAGAAGGCGCCGGTCAACTCATTCTTGAGGATGTTCGTCATCCCTGCCTGGAGCTGCAGGAGCATGTCAGCTTCATTGCCAACAGTGTGGAGTTCAAGAAGGGTAAGTGTTAGGGTAGGTTATTATTATTGTTTTTATTGATTGTATATTTCTTAGATAAATGCAACATGTTCATCATAACTGGTCCAAACATGGGCGGAAAAAGCACTTATATTCGCTCTGTTGGCACTGCTGTGCTGATGGCTCATGTGGGTGCCTTTGTGCCCTGCAGCTCGGCCACCATCACTATGGTAGACTCTATCCTGGGACGCGTTGGAGCCAGTGATAATATCATCAAGGGTCTGAGCACTTTTATGGTTGAAATGATAGAAACCTCGGGAATAATCAGGGTAGGTGTGATTATTGTGATTATAACTTTAGTTGACTGAAATTTTATTCGTAGACTGCCACCGAAAAATCGTTGGTGATCATTGATGAACTTGGCCGTGGCACCTCCACCTACGAGGGCTGCGGCATTGCCTGGTCAATAGCAGAGCACCTGGCCAAGGAGACCAAGTGCTTTACTTTGTTCGCCACCCACTTCCATGAGATTACCAAGCTGGCTGAAAGTTTGGCAACCGTCAAGAATTGTCATATGGCCGCCGTTGCGGATGCCGATAATTTTACGTTGCTTTATCAAGTTCGTCCAGGGGTGATGGAGAAGAGCTTTGGCATTCAAGTGGCCCGATTAGCCAGTTTTCCCGAGCATGTCGTCCAGAATGCCCAGGAGGTGTACAACGAGTTCGAGGATGAGCATGCCGGCAAGCAGAAAGAGGAGGACAAGGCCTTGCTGGAGAAGATTCAAGTTGCCATTGAACAGCTATCAACGGCTGGCAATAACACGGATATCAATGTGGAGGACTTGACCCAGCTGGTTACAAAGTTTACGAAGGACATCAAGCAACTGGACAGCGATTATTTTAAATCCGTGCTGGCCACTAGTGAGGCTTGAAAGAGAGCCAGAGGTATTTATAATGATAAGCCAGTATTACATTCCAGAGGCAGAATATTTCCATTAATTTTATAATTTCTTGTATCTGTTCTTGTTCTATCATAATTTTTAGTTTTAAGAATCTCATAAACTTGTATACGAAGAGCTTTTAACTCGAAGAGACTTTTTTTTTGTAAACGTTCCACAAATATATCAAAAATGTTAAAAAATCAGTAAAGTTTGGATAATATATTGTATGGATATAGACGTTTCAGTCACGTAGATATCAAAATAAACAGATTTGTGTTACAAATAGCACTGTATTTTCGGCTCTATGCCAAGTCACATTGAACACGCTTTTTAACACAGCGCGAAATACAAAATACCGGCCTGACAAACTGTCAATTTAATCGGCCGGGCTTTAACCTCGGCTGTCATTTTGGGGTAAAGCGCCGCTTTTATCGTCCCGTTTGGCCCGATCTTTGGCTCGACTGTCATTACCAAATTCAACTTAAGTGCTGTCAAAAGATAATTACCGTTTCGGCTTTGATTTTTCTTACCTTTTGTATGTTCGGTTGGACAACTAAATGGCAACCACAACGACAAGGCTCAGAAAGGCTTAAACCAGTTTGTCGCTGCTGTCTTGTTTGGCGCGATTCAATAATGCTGCTAAAATGCTTGATTACTGGCATTACCTTGTTTTGGGGACTTGATATAAGACAAATAAATTTGCATTAAGTGATCAAAAATCGTCTTAATTTAAAATGAATATCAAAATAAAGAGTAATAAGAGAATAAGAGCTTTAAGTACTTTATAGACAATGAGCCCAACTAACTGATTGAATATTAAAGAAGCTACTTATTGTAGGCTTCCTAAATCATACCTATCTGAAAGTTATTTGTCCCTATCTGATATATATAATATATAGATATATATATGTCTTCTTCCCTTGGCTATGCCCATATTCAATGTTGATATCGCATTCTCAACAAACATGGCGTGTTAGCAACGCTTAACAGCGTCTAAAATTGACAGGCAACTTTAAATATATTGCATTTGCGGCCAGTTCAGCATGCCTGTCTGCCACGATTAGTGGCAAGCAGCCAGCCAGCCATCCAACCAGCCAGCCAGCGAGCCAGGCACCCATCCGGCATCCAGGTCCGGCTCCAAAACTCCTTTGAAGCCAACTTCATTTGGCTGGCTGGAATGGGACGCGTACAATTATTAATTTGATACGATATAATTGACATGTTGCCGATGCCAAAAAGGAAGCACTAACATGCGGACGGCAACAGGAGAAGCGGCAGCATCATCAGCGGCAGCAACAACAAGGTGAAACGTCGTAATGTGGGCAACAAGCTAAGCCAGTGCGACGCATATTAACGCCATGGCTTAGTGACAACGACCAAAGTTGGCTTAGAGATGGCACTTTAAAAGGAGGTTTAATCAAATGAGGTAATATGTCTTACAGTTTATACTTTTGTTCTATTTTCTTAATAATTTTAAAATTTGTATCTCTTTATTTTAGTTTATTAAAACCTATCTCAATGGAGCTCATCTCTTTGGGTTTATTTTCACGCTCCTGCCTCTTGCGTTCCCGCCCTCTCGATTTCTGGCAGGCAGGCGTGTAAATTGTTTTTACTTAATCGTTGCGGACACAAACGCACATGTTGTTTGGCCACAACAACAACAACAACAACACCGATAGCAACAACAACAACGGCTTCAACATCATGGAGTGGCTGCTTGCCTCTTTTTGCCGATCTCC